CATGTGTATATTCCCAGCCTGTTATACCTCAGGTTCTTAACCAGTTTGGGTATATAGCAAAATTCTGTGTCAAAAGAATTACAGAAAATGAAATTTAATTTTATATGGAATTAACTTTTTTTTGTTGTTGTTCATGAAGCTTGAACTTCTGGGCCTGGGCGCTGTCCCTCCTCTCTTCAGCTCAAGGCTAGGGCTCTACTTCCAGTATTCTGTGGTTAATTGGAAAGTCTCAGGACATTTCTTCCTGGGCTGGCTTTGAAACTCGATTCTCAGTCTCAGCTTCCTGAGTATGTAGGATTACAGGCGTGTGCCACTGGCAGAATTAACTTTTAATACATTTATTGGAGTGTTATTTCCAGGATTGATTTTTTCCCCCCCAGTCCTGGAGATTTAACCCAAGACTTTGAAAATATTAGGAGAGCACTGTAGCACTTAGCCCTGTAGGATTCTTTGTTGTTGTTTTGCTTTTGTGCCAATACTGGGGCTTGAACTTAGGCCCTGGTATCCTCACTTGGCCTTTTCAAGACTGTCAAGCTACCATGTGAGCCACACTCCACTTCTAGCTTTCTGTTGGTTCAGTAGAGACAAAGTCTCAGACTTCTGTCCCAGCCTGGCTTTGAACCAGATTTCAGCCTCTTGAGTAGCTAGGATTACAGACATGAACTACCAGCACCTGACCCCATAGTATTCTTTTAATGTTAAATTGATATTGATTCTAATCATCCTGGTTCTAAGAATCAACTTTTTTGAATTTCAGTGAGGGAAATTGAGTTTTTGTATACAAATAATATGCTCTGCCTGCCTAATATTCTCAATCACAGTGAACATTTGTTTAGTATTAAAACTACATACAGGTTGAACATTTCTAATGTCCAGAATGCTCCAAAATTCAAAATATTTTGAGCACTGACATGCTACAGGTAGAAAATTCTACAACTTATTCTCCAATGAGAGGTCCCAGTCAAAACATAATTGTTTTGGTATGCTGAAAATACTGTGAGATTACCTTCAGGTTATGAAATATATATAAAGCTTTTTTTTTTTGGTCAGTCATGGGACTTGAACTCTGGGCCTGGGCATTGTCCCTCAGCTCTTCAGGGGGGAATGTAGAACAAAGAAATGAACATGAAATAATCCTGGAAAGTTTTCAGTACTATGTTGTTCTATTCCCATTGCCCTCCCTACTAAACCACTGGAATAACTTCAGAATTTATTGTTGTAAATAAAGCTACTGGGGAAAACTTGCTGTAGTAGTAATAGTACACTACTGTTCTGGGATTGGAGGCAGGTTCTCTGTATTTCCAAATTAACCATCTGTATAAAAATGTTTCGTATTTGAGGGCTGGGAAGGTGGCTCAGTGGTAGAGTGCTTGCCTTGCATGCATGAGGCCCTGGGTTCGATTCCTCAGCACCACATAAGCAGGGAATAAAAAGCCGGAAGTGGCACTGTGGCTCAAGTGGTAGAGTGCTAGCCTTGAGCTGAAGAGCTGATGGACAGCGCCCAGGCCCAGAGTTCAGGCCCACGACTGGACCCGAAAATTAAAAAAAAATTAAAAATTAAAATAAAAAAATGTTTCGTATTTGGGACTCATTTCCCTGAAAACACAAGTATTCCCAAGTAAAGATTGTTTAAAATGTTAAATTACTGAAGCTTTTACTCAGGGCTGAGGATATAGTTTAGTGGTACAGAACTTAACCTGACATACTGTTTATGGTCTGTTAATAAGACCCACTGCCATGTGGAAATAAATTAACTCCTCCAAGTTTTTTTTTTTTTTTTTTTTTTGGGTCCGGTCGTGGGGGCTAAACTCTGGGCCTGGGCACTGTCCCTCAGCTCTTCAGCTCAAGGCTAGCGCTCTACCACTTGAGCCACAGCGCCACTTCTGGCTTTTTTCTTTTTTTTTTGGTCGGTCATGGGGCTTGAACTCGGGGCCTGGGCGCTGTCCCTCAGCTCTTCAGCTCAAGGCGAGTGCTCTACCACTTGAGCTACAGCGCCACTTCCGGTTTTCTAGTGGTTTATTGGAGATAGGAGTCTCATGGTCTTTCCTGCCCCGGCTGGCTTTGAACCGCGATTCTCAGATCTCAGCCTCCTGAGTAGCTAGGATTACAGGCGAGCCACAGGTGCCTGGCTCCGGCTTTTTTCTTTTTGCTCATGTGGTGCTGAGGAATCGAATTGAACCCAGGGCCTCATGCATGCAAGACAAGCACTCTACCACTGAGCCACCTTCCCAGCCCCCCATCCTCTTTTAAATTGCCATTCTGAACCAGGCATCCTGCCTGAGACATGAACCACTTGCCCAGTATATATTTAATTGTTCAGTAGTAATGTTAAAGGATGAACTGTCTCAATAGGGCAGTTTGTCCCAGTAACCCTTATTTTACTTAATGACCCAAGTACCTGAGTGGTAATGTTGACAACTTTTTTTGTGTATGTGTACTGTCCATGAGCTTTGCTAAGGGCAAGCCAATGGCAGTTGGAGTAGAGCATGAAGTTTCCTGCCCAGCTGGCTTCAGAACAATGGATCCTCAGATTTCCTCACAGTAGCTAAGATTACAGGCATGAGCCACTAGCTCTGGCTATTATTCTTAATCTTGCAATACCTAATTTATAAATTGAACTTTATTGTATGTACATACATATACATAGGAAAAATTAAGAGTACTATTCCAGGTTTCAGGCATCTACTGAGAGTCTAGAAACCATCCCCAGGTGGGGGCTGGAAAGGTGGCTCAGTGGTAGAGCGCTTGCCTTGCATACCTGAGGCCTTGCATACCTGAGGCCCTGGGTTCCATTCCTCAGCACCACATAAACAAAAAGGAAAAAAAAAGCCGGAAGTGGCACTGTGGCTCAAGTGGTAGAGTGCTAGCCTTGAGCTGAAGAGCTGAGGGACAGCGCCCAGACCCAGAGTTCAGGCCCCACAACTAGACACCAAAAAAAGAAACCATCCCCAGGTGAAAAAAGGGTAGAATGGATTAATAGATCAGGTGAAAAAAGGGTAGAATGGATTAATAGATCAGAAGGACCTCTGAAAATATTTTTCCTGTTACCATTTAGTGTAACCTGGTTGTAAAGTGTGAGGCATAACTCATATGTCTTCCTTATAAGCAGAAAATACCAACTCTTTTGTGTTGGTACTAGTGCTTGAGCTCGGCCTAGGCGTCCCTGAGCTTTTGTGCTAAAGGCTAGTACTCTTACCACCTTAGCCACAGCTCCACTACCAGCTTTTTGGTGACTAATTGGAGAGTAAATCTCATGGACTAGGCAAGCTAGCCTTGACATACATACCATCTTCAAATCTCAGCCTCTTGAGTAGCTAGGATTACAGTTGTGAGCCACAGGTGCCAAGCAAAAAATGCCAACTTCTGGGAACCGAATGAATGTAAACAATTTCTGAGGAAAAACTAGCTCACTCCCCAAGAATTTATAATGCTCTTAAGAACCATATTGGAAAAGATATGTAGGCTGGGAATGTAGCTTCGTTGGTAGAGTGCTTATCTAGCAAGCATGAAGCTCTGGGTTCAATTCCACAGTACCACAGAAAAGAGCGTTAGCCTTGAGCACAAAAGAGGCTCAGGGACAGAGCCCAGGCCCTGAGTTCAAGCCCCAGGACCGGCAAAAAACAAAAGAACACTTAGAAAGTTTGGGTATTTTCTTAGATTTATTAGTTTTCCATCAGGTAATTTTATAGCTTCAAGATCTTCCCCTCAAAATTAAGATCCCCACCTCCCTCCTCCCCCCAAAGTTTAGAACTGGATCACTTGGCCCTTTCTCTTCTTATCTCCTCCCAGTTCAAAATGCTTGCATCTCTTGATGGCCAGCATCCTCTTGGATCTGCAGTTAGGCTCAACACATTCAAGCCTCAGCACAATCTTCTTGGTGGTTTTAGCCTTCTTTCGGAATATTGGCTTGGTCTGCCCACCATAGCCGCTTTGCTTCCGATCGTAGCGCCTCTTCCCTTGGGCATACAGAGAATCTTTGCCCTTCTTGTACTGGGTCACTTTGTGAGGCTGATGCTTGCCACATTTCTTACAGAAAGTCCTTCTGGTTTTGGGTACGTTGACCATCTTTGTAGTAGAGCTGTCTGCACAAGATGAGAGCAAATTAAGATAACATTTAACACTCTGAAACATGAAACGGCCAAGATTAAAATAAAAATCATCGACAGTATCAATTCATCAAGTGCTCGTTTTCCATATGAATAAACTCCTAACAAGTGAACACGTCTTTGGGATGCTTAAGTTACTGGCTAGGTCTGGGGCTATAGCATGGTGGTAGACTGCTAGGCCTTAAGGCCGGCTCTCCAGCACCGCGCGCAGAGGCGAAAACTGACATTACTTGAGACTGAAACATAACGAAGGCGGGCGTGGCGGTGCCCGCCTGCAGCCCGAGACTCGGGAGGCTGGAGACCCGGCCTGGAGGGGTGAGCTCCGCTCAACGCCTAACTCCGGGGCCGCGCAGAGAACACAGCCGAGGGTTTCCTCCTGCAGATCGCCATCCGCGTCCTCCATTTTCTAGCTCGCGGGTAGGCCCACGGCCGGACCCTACGGCCACCCGGGCTCCGACGCGCCCGCCCAGTCTCTCTTCCAAGGGCCGCGCCGCTCCGGTTTCGCGCTTCCCCTCCGCAGCCCCGCCAGCAGCCCGGAAAGCTGACGTGGACACCGCAGCTCCACAGCCGCCATGCTCCCGCGCCGCTGCCCAAGGCTGAGCCAGCTCCCGGGCCCACCCTTCGCTTCCCCACAGGGGCCTAGTCCTCCCCCGAGATCCTGAACCGTCAGAGCCCCTAAAAAATAAAGCCGGTACGGCCGCCCTCCCCTACTTACCGGGAGACCCGGAGACCACGACACGCGCCTCACGCAGCTCTGAGGAAAAGGACGAGGGGAGCGGAAGTGGGAACTGAGCTTGAGTGGCAGGACAACCAGCCAATAGGCGGCCGCCTCCTACGGCAAGGCGTCCCTAAATGCCTCTGGAAAGCACCAATAAACTGCCCTGGGGGCGGGCTGGAGGGGTGTGGGCCGAAGGGCCGCGGCGATTCGCGGGCCAGTAAGCGGGTTGTCAGAACGGTCGCCACCGGAGTGAGGCGAGGCTGCGTCTTTGGGTATCGGCGGCCAGGGGCCCGAGTGAGGATGAGAGTGCGGAGGACGCAGGGCCGCTGGAGGCGCAGGTAAAGACACCAGGGTGCGGTAGAACGGCAGCTGGGCTTCTTCCGGGACCCGTGGTGCTGAATGGAAAGGACCGAGACGACGCCGAGCCGTGGTTCCTAGCGGCGGGGCCGCAGCTCCAGCTGCCGCTTGCCAGGCGAGAATGTGCGGAGCCCGGGCAACGCGGGGCGGCTGAGCGCCTTCGGGCCCCAGGACCTCCGGGGCCCGGGATGAGTTAGCGAGGGCAGCCGCGGGGTGGGGGGGCAGTTCCTACGGCTACAGGCCAGCGCTGCGGCCGCCGCCCGCCCGCCCGCCCCTTCCGAGCAGAGGCCGCCAGCCCCTTTCCGTGGCCATCGCTGGCCCTGGAGACCATGAGGTTCCGCATTTACAAACGGAAGGTGCTAATCCTGACGCTCGTGGTGGCCGCCTGCGGCTTCGTCCTCTGGAGCAGCAATGGGCGACAAAGGAAGAACGAGGCCCTCGCCCCGCCGCTGCTGGACGCCGCCGAGCCCGCACCCCGTGCGGGCGGCCGCGGCGGAGACCATCTCGCCGTGTCGATGGGTATCCGCAGGGTCTCCAACGAATCGGCGGCTCCTCTGGTCCCCGCGGTCCCACAGCCCGAGGCGGACAACCTGACGCTGCGGTACCGGTCCCTGGTGTACCAGCTGAACTTTGATCAGACGCTGAGGAATGTAGAGAAGACCGGCACCTGGGCCCCCCAAGAGCTGGTGTTGGTGGTCCAGGTGCACAACCGACCCGAATACCTCAAAATGCTGCTGGACTCACTTCGCAAAGCCCAGGGCATTGATAACGTCCTCGTCATCTTTAGCCACGACTTCTGGTCGACAGAGATCAATCAGCTGATCGCTGGAGTGGATTTCTGTCCGGTTCTGCAGGTGTTCTTTCCTTTCAGCATTCAGTTGTATCCCAATGAGTTTCCTGGCAGTGACCCCAGAGATTGCCCCAGAGATGTAAAGAAGAGTGCAGCTTTGAAATTGGGGTGCATTAATGCCGAGTATCCTGACTCTTTTGGCCATTATCGAGAGGCCAAGTTCTCCCAAACAAAACATCATTGGTGGTGGAAGCTGCATTTTGTATGGGAAAGGGTCAAAGTTCTTCAAGATTATTCTGGCCTAATACTTTTCTTGGAAGAGGATCACTACCTAGCCCCAGACTTTTACCATGTCTTCAAAAAGATGTGGAAATTGAAGCAGCAAGAGTGTCCTGAGTGTGATGTTCTCTCCCTGGGAACCTACACTGCCAGTCGTAGTTTCTACGGCATCGCTGACAAGGTAGATGTAAAAGCTTGGAAATCTACAGAGCACAATATGGGGTTAGCTTTGACCCGGGATGCATATCAGAAGCTGATAGAGTGCACAGACACTTTCTGTACTTATGATGATTATAACTGGGACTGGACTCTTCAATATCTGACTGTAACTTGTCTTCCAAAATTCTGGAAAGTGATGGTTCCTCAAGCTCCTAGGATTTTTCATGCTGGAGACTGTGGTATGCATCACAAGAAAACATGTAGGCCATCCACCCAGAGTGCCCAAATTGAGTTACTCTTAAATAATAACAAACAGTACATGTTCCCAGAAACTTTGATAATCAGTGAGAAATTCACTATGGCAGCCATTTCCCCACCCAGGAAAAATGGAGGGTGGGGAGATATTAGGGACCATGAACTCTGTAAAAGTTATAGAAGACTGCAGTAAAGGAAAAAAAAAAAAAAGCAAAAATGACAGTCTTCTATTTTTGATATTTGTTTCAATAGGACATACAATTAGATAAAAGAGTTTAGGACCTGGTTTCTGCTTTAATACAAAGAAATTCTTGTAAAAGATATCCAAATATATAGTAATCTTTTCCAGTTATGTCTGATCAAAATTTAAAAACAAGTTTTCATTTTGGAAATTGGGTTTAAAAGCTCAGTCTGTATCTGCTGAAGATAATGATTATTATTAGTTGATATGAGGAAAGAGGGGGAATTTTATTTAAATTGCATCTGTTAATCTTTTTATCAGAAACTTTGTACACTTTTCCACTTTTGAAACTTATTTTAAGTACAACAAAGATTATTTAAAACTGTCATAGCAGTTAAAAGTATTAAAATGAAATCATTAAGAGTATTAATGGAACAGCAGTTTCACTCTTGACATTGTTATTAGGAAAGGATTACTCTATTGGTTTAATAACTCAGAAATTGCATTTGTTAAACACCCTGTCTGAACAGTTATTTTCAGTATTAAGGATTCCTGTACTATTGTGTTAAGATTTGCCTGTGCTTTGGAACCTTCATAGAACACACTTTCTTTTGGAATGTATTTGATGAGAAAGTTTAAACATTTTCACCTCAATGTAGAAATACAGTGGTTTTGATTTTTTTTCTTTAGTGCTGCCAAAATAAAATACTCATTTTTGCATAAAAAAGTTCCTAATCATTTTGCAGTTTTATTTCTTCCACCAATAAAGACATTGTAGAAGTTGGACCAGTTACACACAGTATATGAATTCAAAACCATGCTCATGACAATATTCCATATGGAGGAAACTATTTGGCTTTCAAATTGGCCAGCAATAAATGAGCAATAAAAAGCTGCTCTGTAAGGGAAATGCAGTCTAAATTGTTTTTGAAGGCCAGAAATGATACAAAGTTCAGTGTGCCAAAGTTCATGTTCTTAAACCAATCTTATGAAATCATACTTTTTTTCAGTGTTGGGGATTGAACCTAGACCTTGTACATGTTAGGCAAATGCTCTCCCACTGCACTACATCCTCAGATCTCAAATCTTTTTTCTTGACAGATGCAGTAAAAAATAGGAAGTAGGCTTTAACTTTTCCCATAATGTAAAATCAATCAAAACTTACTCAAAGTAGACTAATTTCTGTGTAAAGATTTTACTGTTGGTCAACCTACCTAGGGGAACTGTTACTACTGTGTTGTGTGGCTAACAAATGCATATGCTAGTCTAAGGCATAGTTCTCTCACTTTAATACCTTTTTTAATACAATTCTCACATCTCAATATGGTGCCAGTTATTTTTTTTTTTTCTTTTTGTCAGTTGCGGGGCCCAAACTCAGGGTTTGGATGCTGTCCCTGGGTCTCTTTGTGCTCAAGGCTAGCACTCTTAGGACTTGAGCCACTGAATCACTTCCAATTGTTGAGTGGCTAATCAGAGATGAGTCTCAATTTCTACCCCAGCTAGCTTTGAACCACAATCCTTAGATCTCAGCCTCCTAATAGTGGATTCAGGCATAAGCAACCAGTGCCCAGCTGATGCCAGTTTTGGTTTGGTTTATAGCCTATGTTGGCCTTGAACTTAGAATCCTCTCTCCTTAGCATCTTGGATAGTTGAGATTACAAGGTCTTGTGCACGCTAAGCCATTATGCTACCACTGTGATACATTCCCAGCTCTTAATGCTAGTTTTTATGGGACAAAGGGGTTATAAATTTTTGGTTTTCTGACCTGATATTACTAGTTCAAAGGACTAAAAAAAATTAGGTGTTTTCTAGTCTAATTTAGTAGCCTTACCTGGCACAGAAATATATTAGATATTAGCCTTAGGGTAATTTATTAACTCAACAAATATTTTTCTTTCATGCTATGCCAAACTTTTTTTTTTCCTGCCAGTTCTGGGACTTGAACTCAGGGCCCGGGCACTGTCCCTGAGCTGCTTCTGCGCAAGGTAAGCACTCTACCACTTGAGCCATAGCCCCACTTCTGGTTTTTTGTTTATATGGTACTAAGAAATCAAACCCAGAGTTTCATGCATGCTAGGCAAGCACTCCCACTAAGCCACATCACCAGTCCCCCAATACTTTTTATTTTTTTTTCAGTTGTGGGGCTTGAACTCAGGGGCTGGGCGCTGTCCCTTAGCGCTTCAGCTCAAGGCAAGCACTCTACCACTTGAGCCACACACCAACTTCCGGTTTTCTAGTGGTTCGTTGGCAATAGTCTCATGGCCTTTCCTGCCCAGGCTGGCTTTGAACCATGATCTTCAGATCTCAGCCTCCTGAGAAGCTAGGATTACAAGCATGAACCGCTGCTGCCCAGCCAAGTTGCCAGTTTTTTTTTAGTTTTAATTCTTAAATGTGTTCTATAAAACCAAGGTTGGACAGGTTTATGATCTCAGTACTTGGGAGGCTAAAGCAGGAGGATCAAGAATCCTCTGGCACTGGTAGCTCATGCCTGTAATCCTAGCTACTCAGGAGGCTGAGATCTGAAGTTCAAAGCCAGCCCAGGCAGGAAAGTCTGAGAGACCCTTATCTCCAATTAACCACCAGAAAACTGAAAGTGGCACTGTGGCTCAAAGTGGTAAAAAGCTAGCCTTGAGCAACAGCTCAGGGGCAAGCATCCAGGCCCTCAGCTGAAGCTCCATGACAGCCAAAAAACACACAAAAAAACAAAAACAAAAAAGTTTGAGGCTAGTCTATACTACATACTTAAGATCCTGTCTCAGAAATCCAGAAAAATAGTAGAAGCTGAATTTTGAAAATGATTACCTTAAACTCATTGGTATAACTTGTGTGATAGATCTAAAGAGTAAAATACATTTCAGAATAAAATTTCATCACAATTATAATTGTAGATCATTCATATTTGATAGGAAGTTCTATTTGGGATTCTACTCCCACACACATACACTCATATTTCTAGTTAACTGCATTCTTTAGAATTTGTGACAGTGAGTGAATATTTTGAAACTTTTATTAAATGGTAAACAAAAGTATGAAATTCCAACATATGTCCATATATACAGATTATATAACTACATGTTTTATTCTGCATAGTTAACACAAAGAAGTTATTTTAGGTTAAAAAAATTTACTCTTAACATTTATATTCCTAAATAGTATTAATCCAAGTCATATAGCAAAGAATTCTGAAAGCTGAAAGCACAGTGTGTCACATGATCTTTAATAATCTCCACACTGCCATCCTGCATGTTGGTTTCTTTGATGCTATCAACATCAGGTATCTTGTGAACTACTGTTCTGCTCAGCAATGAAGATAATTGATCTCCACTGAATTCTTTCTCTTTAGTTATCACTTCTAAATTGTCTTTTTCCTCATTTGAGTAAGTAGCACTTTTTTCTTCTGTAAATTCAGGTTCCATGTTTGCCTTGGGTTGCTTGGATTTTTCCAATAGTATCTGAGAATCATTAAGAGATCCTGGTTCCAAGCCTGTTACTAAATCACAAGTATCTATTTTTAGTTCTTTAAGTGCTACAGATGAATCAGAATCAGTTGTAAGATGTTCCAGGTTGTCTTTTTCAGTTAGATGACCTCCTTCACTGAGGCTTCTTTCCTTTTCTTGAAACTGATCAGGATTACTACATTCTAGCAACTGTATTGAGAAAAACAATAAATTAGTAAGTCTTTTTAGCAAAGAAATTAAATTGTAGGACTCTCTGAGAGTCAGATTTTTTTTAAGTTTGGGTGTTAATAACCCTTGCTCCTCAGAAATCCTCCAAATGCTGACCTTTTTTTTTTTTATTCCAGTACAGACCATGGCTTGAAGACTTTTTTTTTTGGCGGGGGGAGGGGGGGGGGGGGATATGTTCAGTCATGGAGTCTGAACTCTAGGCTTGGGTGCTGTCCCTCAGATCTTCAGCTCAAGGCTAGTGCCACTTGAGCCACAGCACCACTTCCGGCTTTTTCTGTTTATGTGGTGCTGAGGAATCAAACCCAGGGCCTCATGCATGTAAGGCAAAAGCACTCTACCACTGAACCAACCACCTTCCCAGCCCCGACAATTATTTTTTTATTATTGTTTTTGTCGGTCGTGGGGCTTGAACTCTGGGCCTGGGCTCTGTTCCTGAGCTCTTCAACTCAAGGGGAGCACTCTACCACTTGAGCCACAGAGCCACTTCTGGTTTTCTGAGTGGTTTATTGGAGATAAGAGTCTCACAGACTTTCCTGCCTGGGCTGTATTTGAACTGTGATACCCATATCTCAGCCTCCTGAATAGCTAGGACTACAGGTGTGAGCCATCAGCGCCTATTATTCTTTAAAACTATTCTTGCCCCAACTCATATGTTAGCCAGTTGTACTAAGTTATTTTCAGGCCTAATACTGATGACTATAAAAATGACCAAACTTAAGGTTTACTGAAAAATGAACAAGTTCCATGACATAATCTCTATGATTTAAGAAAGAAAGCAAGGAACCACTAGCTACTCAGGAGACTGAGATCTGAGGATCATGGTTCAAAGCTAGCCCAGGCAAGAAAGTTCATAAGACTCTATTTCCAATTAATCACACAAAGTTGGAAGTGGAGCTCTGGCTCAAACAGTAGAGCACTAGCCTTGAGGAAACAAACAAACAAACAAAAAGCTCAGGGACAGAGGACCAGAACAAAACAAAACAAAACAAAAAAAACCTAAAAAAGCAACAAACACACACACAAAAAAAGAACTGAAATTTTTTGTTAGGCTTTAACCTTGCCAGGAATCACTCTATAAAGCCCACCAAAATCTTACCTTTGCATGAATTTCAATCTTTTCATCAGTAACATGAAGTACTTCAATTAAAGGTGAAGTTAGGGAAGTTGCCTGTTTCGATGGAGAGCTCAAGACCTCATCAAGAAACTCATCAACATTTTCTTCACTGACAAACAACCTTTCCTAAAATAGAAGGAAACAATATTCTGCTTTCCAGGTGGTAAAAATAAGGGGGAAAATCAGAGACAAAGTTTCAGTTTCTCTTCTATTAAACCATATTTGAACTGTGAACACCTGTAAACCTTAGAAACAAAACTTGTACATTTAGAGTAATATGCCTTGCTGTTACTTAAAGATCCAGAATGTCTGCTACATTATAGAAGCATCAAAAGCATTTCTAAGGTTTAGACCTGTGAAAAAGATATTCCTCTTTGCCTCACTACAAAAAGATACTGTATTCTTCTTAGTCAACCTCAACAAAATATTTACAGTGGAAATGGTTATGTTTAAAATGCAGAAAACTTACATATTTTATGACTACTTCATATAAGAGTGGTTAAAGTCCTTGACCCTGAAGCTCTAGGAAAATCTTCAGTGAATATATAAAACTAAAACTTAATTTAGTACTTTTTTATGTGTAAAATGAATTCTGATCTTAAGAGCCAAAAAGGTCTCTATTATGATTATTTTCATATAATAAACATGTTGTTAGAGTCATTATGTAGTGACTTATATTTTTTTTCCAGTCATGGGTTTGAACTCAAGGCCTGGGTGCTGTCCCTGAGCTTATGTGCTCAAGGCTAGCAGTCTATTACTTTGAGCCACAGCACAGGAAAATGTTCTTTCCCCCTTCTGATGACATAAACATATTCAATTTTAAGATTTATATTCTCAAAAATATATTAGCACAAATATCATTTTTGGAGGGCTTTGAGTTAACTACTTCCTACAGGTAGCTAACTTAACATGCAGATGCAACATTAGCAAATTTCTAGGAAAACAACAGGAAATAGACAATTCTAGCAGGCTGAAGCTCAAGGTCAAATAATACTCTGTGTGTGTAAGAAAGAGAGAGAGAAAGAAAGAGACAGAAAATGGGATTAAACCTAGGGCCTTGCACTCTTGCTTGGCAGCTTTTTCAGCTCATGCTGGTGCTCTACCACTTGAGTCACAGTTCTACATCTGGCTTTTGGCTAATTGGAGATTCGTCTTATGGACTTTTCTGCCTACACTGATTTGAACAGCAATTCTCCAATCTTAGTCTTCTGAGTAGCTATCATCATAGGGTTGTTTCTGGGAACTGAATAGAGCCAAGTCAAACACTCTGCCACTTCACCACATTCTTAGCCCTGATTCTTAACATGTTTTGTTTGTTTTATTTATTTATTTTTTTGAGTCCGGTCGTGGGCCTGAACTCTGGGCCTGGGCTCTGTCCCTCAGCTCTTCAGCTCAAGGCTAGCGCTCTACCATTTGAGCCACAGTGCCACTTCCAGCTTTTTTTTCTGCTTATGTGGTGCTGAGGAATCGAACCCAGGGCCTCATGCATGCAAGGCAAGCACTCTACCACTGAGCCACCTTCCCAAAGTAAAAGTTGGGCTGGGGAGGTGGCTTAGTGGTAGAGTGTTTGCCTAGCATGCATGAAGTCCTGGGTTCCATTCCTCAGTATCACATAAATAGAGATAGATAGATAGATAGATAGATAGATAGATAGATAGATAGATAGATAGAGAGATAGATAGATAGAGAGATAGATGTAAAAGTTACAGCTGGGCACCGGTGGCTCATGCCTACAATCCTAGCTACTCAGGAGGCTAAGATCTGAGGATCACGGTTTCAAGCCAGCCCAGGCAGGAAAGTCCGTGACACTCTTATCTCCAATAAACCACTAGAAAACCATAAGTGGCACTGTGGCTCTAGTGGTAGAGCATTCACCTTGAACTAAAGAGCTGAGGGACAGCACCTAGGCCCAGAGTTCAAAGTTACTGACTTTATTACAAACCTCAATAAAAATATCATCAATGGCCCTTTTTGAGCTTAAAGTCGATACAATTTCAAACTTTTTACACAGTTTTCAAATGCACGCATCCATGGTTCATGCCTGTAATCCTAACTACACTAGCTTTGAGCACCAACACTCAGGGACAGTTCCAAGACCCTTCAACAACCTTCATGAACAACAAAGCAAAGCAAAACAAAACAAAACAAGTTTTTCAATATTTGCCAGTAACAGTAGAGTATTGAATCTGGAATCAAAGAACCTGAAATTTTTACCCTAGGCCTGAGGTGTGGCTCAAGTGTATGCCTACCAAGTTTGAAAGTCCTGAATTCAAATGATACCACCACAATAATTTATTCTAAAACATGTTATCCTAAGTAGACTAGATAATTCTTATCCACTTCTAGTATTTGTCCAGAAGCACTTTTTGTCGAACAGTTCAGTTCAACAAATATTAATTACACCTAGTTAATGCCACAGGGCCCCAACGATAATTCAAACAAAAGCAAGGAGAAAAAGCTCTGGTGTAATATATGCTCATTGCAGGACAAGTTCTCCAAAATCAGCAACTGAGACTTTATGTAAGCAGTACCCTATGGTAGTAAGGGCATGGGACTGGGTCTGAGTTTATTTCGTCTTGTGAGTAATGAATGTGTGGTACTGACTTGCATTTCCTCTCCAGAAAATACATTACTACTTACAGAAATTTCTGGGGTCGAATAAGTTAAAAGTATGGCCAGTTTGGGGTGCTTCTTAAATGTTCCACTTCAACGAGGAGGGCTAACGTTACACCCCTTTTTGCCAGGAGACAGAAAAAAAGCTCTAACGTTATGCATACAACTCTAGAGGACTAGGATCACCGAGAGGGAATCCATTTAGTCTCCCTTGGCACCAACAGGCCACGAGGAAAAAGCTGCACTGTAGGGCAATCAGAAGATTTGAAACCCATTTGTAAATTTGTAAACTGCCTTTTTTGAGAAACACATGTAAGGCTGAGTGCTGGTGGCTCACACACCTGTAATCCTAGCTATTCAGGAGGTACAGATCTAAGAATCACGGTTGGAAACCAACTTGGACAGGAAAGTCCATGAGACTCATCTCCAATTAACCACCGAAAAGCTAGAACTGAAGCTGTGGTTCAAGTGGTAGAGCGCCAGCCTGGAGTGAAAAGCTATAGGACTTGGCCCGGGGCCCAAGGATCAGCACAAAAATAAATAAAACCAAATAAAAAAATAGATTTAACAGCTCTACCTTTCATCATGTGAGTTGTTATGGAAAACGCTTTACAACAAACTTGAAAAACGAGATGTAGTATTTCAAAAAGGAAGGTTCTTAGTACCTCCAAAGAAGCGTCGTTTAAACCCCAATACCACTCTCGCCAGTATCCACGGCTCTCTGGAGACTTGGCCAACACTATGACCGCGTTGTCTGAAGAAAGGCTAACCGCGGGTTCGTCGGGACTCAACTTATTGCCTGGAGCAAATTGCAAAAGGAAGGAATAAACGGAGTCTGGCGTGGAGAAGCACAGTTTATAGTGGAGAGGAGTCAGCTCCCCGCGAAGACTCTGCGGCTGAATCCGAGGCACGCGGACTAACAGAGTCAAGCAATCTTCATCTTGATCACACTGCACGGGCGGACACCGAGGTGTGCCGCTTGGGGAGCCCGGGCCGCCCATGGCTGGGTCTGAGGGTTCGCCTCCCGGCCCCTCCGCTTCCTCGCGCGCCTCGGCGGTGTGATCTCCGCACGCGCCCCCTCCCACTAGCGGAGACTCCCAGTCGGGATCCGGAGATGCACCGGGAGGGGAGCCTCCGCCTCCGTCTCCCGGTGAGCTCCCCGCTCCGGGAGGCGACACCGAGTACCGGCCCGAGTCCCGCTCCTCCGGCCCGGCGGCCGCGGACGCAGGCGCCACCTCCGGGGAGCGTGGGGTGCTGCTGATCTCGGCGTCTGCGGCCCCGACGGGGCTGGAACTCCGACCTGGGTCTGCGGCGCAGCTCTCCTCCGGTCCCGCCTCCCCCGGGCGGGCGGAAGCGCAGGCCGCGCCGCCGTCCGTGCCGCGCGGATCCGCGGGGAGGTCGCGTCGCACGGCGGACGCCGCCACCGGGAGCGTCACCACCAGCTGCCGCCGGGCTTTGTTGAACTGCGCCTTGCCGCGGCTGTCGTCCACGGGGTACGGGAGCGAGAGCCGCAGCCGGTAGTCGGGTTCCCGGGAGTCGAGGCACAGCAGCTTCCCCGTCACCTCCAGCGCCGCCTGTTCGGCCGAGCGCAGCAGCGGCAGCTCGATGGTGACCACCAGCTCGTGCGGCACGGGGCCCGGCGCCGAGTCCCGGGCGCAGCGGTAGTCCTGCAGGTCCACGTGGTGGCGCTGCACCACGCCGCAGCGGGGCTCGGTGGGGGCCGGCCGCCGCCGCCGCGCCGCCTCCGGAGGGGCGGGCTCCGGCGGCGGGGGCGGGGCCGAGGGCTCCGCGGCCGGCGGGGCGGGGTAGGGGTAGGGGAAGGGCGGGAGCGGGCCGGCCGGCTCCTCCTCCGGCTGGGTGGGGGCGCCGCCCGGCAGGGGCCTGCGCAGCACGGCGGCCTCGGGGGTCCCCTTGTATTTCATCTTCAGGGTCCTGGCGTTCCTGCGGTCCAGCTGGACGTGGAATTGCTTCTCCACCGCCTCCAGGGCCGTGGCGTCCAGCATCTCGCGGAAGCGCTGGTGGCGCCGGGCCAGGGCCAGCGCATCCGGGTGGAAGACCACGTCGTAGACGGTGTAGCCGGTGCCACGGCGCCCGGCGTACTGGCGGCCCGGCGCCAGGCTGTAGGGCAGCGACCAGTGAGTGCCGGGCGCCGAGCCCACGCCGCCCTCCCGGCCCGGCCGGCGGCTGGGCTGCTCCACCAGCGCGTTGCTGCACACGTTCACGAAGCAGCGCCGCGTCCCGTCCAGGCTGGTGCGCAACACGTGGCCCGGTTCGGGGTGCACGAAGCGCACCTCCACCCCGCGCTCACGCTCCAGCGCCGTCACCTCCGCCTCGTAGCGCCGCCGGTTCTCGGGGTTAGTGAGCTCCTGGGCATACTCGGAGAACAGGCGCCGGAACTCGGGGTCCTGGAAGGCGGAGGTGAGCCTCTGCACCTCCTCTCCGCTCAGGTCCAGGTTTTCCAGCGGTGAGGAGGCTGTTTTTGTAGCCATGGCTTCTTGCCCTCTGACCCTAATAGGGATCAGGTCTAGACCAGGCGTTCAGGATGCGCAGCGGAGCCGCGGCTACTCCGAAGAGTCACCCGCCGAGCCAGGTAACCGCCTGAGCGGTTGAGCGCTCGGCTGCGCGTGCTTGTTGCCATAGCAACGCCGCTGCCACCAGGGAGGAGGGGCAAGAGTCCACGGACTCTTAACCCACACAACCAATACACTACTCTGTTGCGTCTTTGATTCCTGTGTCACACGGAATTCATGTACTTCTGCAACCCACTGTAATAATTTCTATTATTTCCAGCATTAGACACATTCCGTTTGTTATTCCTTCTCCTTCACTTGATCCTCTTCTGCCAGTTCTCTAAATTTGGGACTCATCCAAGTCTGCTTTGCCATCCCTCTTGTTGAATCATATTTCTTCCAAAATGACCTTATCCAAGCCTCTAGCTTTTAATACCATCTATGTTCAGATTAGCCCTTTCAACAGCTATTTATTACACACTAAGTGCATCTACTGTGAAGTATGTCACTGTTCCAGGCACTAGGAAAAAACGACATCACTGCTACAAGGAAGGGAAGTTAACTGACACTCCTAGGCTCACAGGATAGGTTCAAACTATCACTTTGGAAAATAGCTACTGAACATAATGTACATCCTATGGCTAAGAAACTGAGGTATAATATATATATATATATATATTCAACAGAAACATATCCTTCAAAACGTGCTAGGATGTGTATTTTCTTTTTTTTTTTTTTGGGTCCGGTCGTGGGGCCTGAACTCTGGGCCTGGGCACTGTCCCTCAGCTCTTCAGCTCAAAGCTAGCGCCCTACCACTTGAGCCACAGCACCACTTCCGGCTTTTTTTTTCTTTTTGCTTATGTGGTGCTGAGGAATCGAACCCAGGGCCTTATGCATGCAAGGCAAGCACTCTACCACTGAGCTACCTTCCCAGCCCTAGGATGTGTATTTTCATAACAGCACTATTGATATGTAATTAAGTACTGGAAACTCCCCACTTCCCATTCTTAGTAAATTAAAGACATTTGTGTACCTACCATATGTGCTACTATACAGCAACAGTACCAAAGAATATCCCTAACAGCGATATGTAAAAGAAACCAGGAGAGGGCTGGGAAGGTGGCTCAGTGGTAGAGCACTTAGCTTGCATGCCTGAAGCCCTAGGTTCGATTCCTCAGCACCATATAAGCAAAAAGAAAAAAAAAAGCCGGAAATGGCGCTGTGGCTCAAGTGGTAGAGCGCTAGCCTTGAGCTGAAGAGTTGAGGGACAGCGCCAAGGCCCAGAGTTCAGGCCCCACGACCGGACCCAAAAAAAAAAAAAACCAGGAGAGAACTAGGTACCAGTGGCTCACAACTGTAATCCTAGCTACTCAGGAGACATCTGAGGATCCCAATTCAAGGCCAGTCCAGGCAGAAAAATCCTCAAGACTTTGATCTTTACTAGGAAAAAGTGGATTTGTGGTTCAAGTGGTAGAGCAGCAGCCTTGAGTGAAAAGCTACGCAAGAGCACAAAACCCAGAGTTCCAGCCCAAGTACTGGCACACACATGCACACACACACAAAGATGACTCCCCTCCTCCCCATGTTTCTTGCTTTCTTTTTTCCTTCTACTATGAATCATGCAGGATCAGGACCAGGCCAAGTGCAGGTCTCTCCTTCCATCCTCACTTCCTATCCCAACCATTATAAATTATTCAGTTCTGGTACTGTCATAGCAAACAGGTAAGGCATGATGCAAAATAAACAATACGGGGCAGGAGTGTAATGCAGTGTAGAGCAGCTGTACCGTGTGTAGAAGCCACAGCATGGCAAAAAAAAAAAAAAAAGACTGTCCTGTAAGTGTAAAAATTATGGGGACTGGGCTGGGCAGGTGTCTCAGTGGTAGAGTGTTTGCCTTGCATGTATGAGGCCCTGGGTTTGATTCCTCAGCACCACATAAGCAGAAAAAGCCAGAAGTGGTGCTGTGGCTCAAGTGGTAGAGTGCTAGCCTTGAGCCAAAGAGCTGAGGGACAGCACCCAGGCCCAGAGTTCATGATGGACAAAAAAAAATAAAAAAAAATATATATATATATATATATATATGACTATAGTTAAATCTTCCAGTGCGAAAAAAGTAATTGCATAATAAATATACTAATATCCTAAAACAAAGTATTGATCTTTACTTGTTAGAATAAATGCTGTGACTTAAACAACTTGGAAACTGCTTGCTGAATACGTTATTAGGGCTATTACAGTATTAACTAAATTAGACTAAAATAGTGATTCACAAAATTTCAAATACTAGTGTTTGTTTGTTTGCCAGTCCTGGGGCTTGAATTCAGGGCCTGGGCACTGTCCCTGAGCTTCATTTGCTCAAGGCCAGCACTCTACTACTTAGGCAGTGCCACTTCCAGCCTTTTCTATTTGTGTGGTACAGAGGAATGGAACCCAGGGCTTCATGCATGCTAGGCAAGCCACTAAGCCACATTCCCAGTCCCACTGTACTTTTCTTAAAATGAACATTTTTTAGAATATGACTCCTACAGAAATAAACTAGGCTTTAGGTGCAAATGTATAATCCAGACATGTAACTTAAAGAGTATATATGCATCTATATTCTTGAAACTACTTAAATATTCTATCTACATATTTTAAAGCATACCATATTTGTTATAACAGTATAAAATTTTCATAAAATAAAAATTTAAAGTCATCCTAAAGTTTGCCACAATTTTATTATAACTTAATACCAAAATTACATAAGATTAAAAGTAAGCAGAATAGTGGTCTTTCTTCAGATGGATTTCAAAAGCCTTGAAGTTTGCTGAAAACAGAAAAATATTTACAAAATTAAACATTTTGGAAACCTAAGTCATTGTACATTTCTTTCTTTCTTTTTTTTTTGGGGGGGGGGGGGGGAGTCCAGTTGTGGGGCCTGAACTCTGGGCCTGGGTGCTGTCCCTCAGCTCTTCAGCTCAAGGCTAGCTCTCTACCACTTGAGCCCCAGCGCCACTTCTGGCTTTTTCCTGCTTATGTGGTGCTGAGGAATCGAACCCAGGGCCTCATACATACAAGGCAAGCACTCTAGCACTGAGCCAATTTCCCAGCCCCTGTACATTTCTTAATACTTATAGTTTGTATATCCTTATAAAGGTAGTCCCATCAAAATGAACATAGTGCTAGGTGCCAGTGGCTCACTCCTGTAATCCTAGTTACTCAGGAGTCTGAGATTTGGGAATCGAGGTTCAAAGCCAAACAGTACAAGAAAGTTTGAGACTCATCTCCAATTAACCACCAAAAAAGCTAGCAGAGGAAATGTGGATCAAGAATACCTGCCTAAAGCAACAAAACAAAACAAAACAAAACAAAACATGGGCAACGGGCTAGGCCCAAGAGTTCAAGCCCCAATACCAGAAAACACACAGACACACACATACAAAAGCAGATAGTTAATAAACACTTATTTATAATTTACTTCATTTGTTTCTTTATGGCTTTGAAATTAAATTAGAAAAGGTCTGAATAAGTACACTTATCTAGATATATATTCATTTAAACTATTCCCCCCCCCCTCCTTTTTTTGGTGCCTGTATGGGGCTTGAACTCAGGTGCTGTCTATGACCTCTTTTGCTCAAAGCTAGTAAGTACTCTACCACTTGAGCCACTGCTTCACTTCTGGCTTTTTTTGTGGTTAATTGGAGATGAAAGCCTTTCAGACTTTTCCTGCCTGAGCTAGCTTCAAACTGTTATCCTCAGATCTCAACCTCCTAAGTAGTATTACAATTGTGAGCCACCAGCACCAAACTAAACTATTTACCTTTTGATAATACAAAAATTGCATCTAGGCTGGGAATGTGGCTTAGTTGGTAGAGTGTTTATCTAGCAAGCATGAAACCCTAGGTTTAATTCCATAGTACCACATAAGAAAAAGCCAGAAGTGTGGCTCAGGTGATATAACACTAGCATTGAGTACAAAGAGGCTCAGAGACAGAGCCCAGGCCCTGAGTTCAAGCCCCAGGACCAGCAAAAAACCAAACCAAAACAACAAAAATCCACTGCATCTAAAGCCAGGAACCAGTGGCTCACATCTATAATCCTAGCTATTCAGGAGGCTGAGATTTGATGAGAAACAAAACAAAACTGCATCTACTTTCAAGCGTACCTGGATAAATTCCTAAACATTGTAATTGCTTTTCTATGCATTGTAAGTTTTTTTGGGGTGAGGGGGCTTGGTGGTGTTGGTGGTCATAAGGCTTGAACTCTGGGCCTGGGCACTGTCCCTGAGCTCCTTTTGCTCAAGGCTAACACTCTGCAGCACCACTTCCAGCTTTTGGTGGTTAATTGGATATGAGAGTCTCAAGGACTTTCCTGCCCAAGCTGACTTTGAACCACACCCCTCAGATCTCAGCTTCCTGAGTAGCTAGGATTACAGGTGTGAGCCACAGGTGCCTGGCCTACATCCTGTCAAACTGTTGTCTGTAAAGGTTTTCACCATTTTCCTTCTGATAGCCTTGTGGGAAAATGCATGCTTCTCTACCATATCAAAATATTATTTTCAAGTAAAACTTTTTGGAAGCTCATCTTGTACCCCATTCATGTGTTTAATTTCTATGTATTAAGTATGTATGTATGTATATGCACACATACATATATAGATTACTACTAAATGCATATATACAAAAGAAAGCACATGTTGAGATAGGGTCTGACTCACAAATACTCTAAAAATATTTCTTCTTAGCAGAAGCTATGTGTTAGAAAAACTGGAGTATCTCAATATATTTGCAACATTTCTTTCTGTTCTTTGAAGAAATAAGTACTAAAAAGATTCAAGTTATCAATAGTAAATTACAGTTTGGAAATTACATTAAGCCTTTGAGCATCTGTGGCCACAGAAGATAAAGGAACCAACTCTTTCAGTTTAATTGAAATTGAGGGGCTGGGAAGGTGGCTCAGTGGTAGAGCACTTGCCTTGCATGCCAGAGGCCCTGGGTTCGATTCCTCAGCACCACATAAGAAAAAAGCCGGAAGTGGTGCTGTGGCTCAAGTGGTAGAGCGCTAGTCTTGAGCTGAAGAGCTGAGGGACAGCGCCCAGGCCCAGAGTTCAGGCCCCACGACTGGACCCAAAAAAAAAAAAAAAAAAAAAAAAAGAAATTGATGCTTAAGCATCAATTACAAGTCAATTACTATGCTAGAATCTATGCCAGAAACTTTTAAAGAGGGACAGACACTAATATAAATCAGTTAATTTCTAGCTGGGGATTCTGTGTGTGTGTGTGGTTTAAACTTAGGGTCTCATATTTGCTTTACATTGGAACCTCTTTTTAGAGATTGAATTCAGTACCTCACACTTGCTACTAAGCAGGAGCTCTGTGAGCCACTTTGTCAGCCCTTTTGTGTTGGTTATTTTCAAGATAGGGAGTGGCTTTTATGCCAGGGATGGTATGAACTGCAATCCTATTTTTGCTTCACTTTATTGCTGGGATGACAGGCACATTGCATCTGTGCGCAAACACTATGTTTGCCCCCATTGCTGAGGATAAGAGGAATATGCCACTGCAAAGTTATTGGTTGTAATGGGGTCTCACAAACTTTATGCCTAGGTTGGCCTTGAATTGCAATCCCTTGATCTCTGCTTCTCAAGTAGCTAAGATTACTGTTTTCAGCCAGTTTTCACCCTTTTTGCTTTAGTTTATTTTCTAGATAGGGTCTTATGTTTTTTGTCCCAGCTGGCAATAGGCCACTTCAGGCACTTAAAAACCTCTTAAGACACCTTCAGTTGTATTTAAGCAATACAGCATACTTACCTATCTTCTACTGTCTTATTGAAAGGATAATACACTTTGAATGAAAATCCACTTCTTGGAAAAGAGCCCTTTAGAGACAAAAAAAAAAAAAAAAAGCCTGTAAGTAACTACTCAACTTTTATATTATAACACCTATTTAAAAAAAAATCAAGGGGCTGGGAAGGTGGTTCAGTGGTAGAGTGTTTGCCTCGTATGCATGAGGTCCTGGATTCTTCAGCACCACATAAGCAGAAAAAGCCGGAAGTGGTGCTATGGTTCATGTGATAGGGCGCTAGCCTTGAGCTGAAGAGCTGAGGGACAGTGCCCAGACCCAGAGTTCAGCCCCAACAACCGACAAAAAAAAAAAGAGTATGAAGCCATAAGTTCAAGGCCCAGTACTGTCATAAAAATATATAAGAGAAATTTTGAACTTGTCTAAAAGTTTAAAAGATTTGGGAAAATCTGACCACAAATTTCCAACAGTGAGTAAAGTGAGTTACCTATATTCAACCTTGGAACAGTGGTTCTCTGCAAATGTCCCAGTGTTCCCTGAAAATGCCCTAGTGTTCCCTGCTGCCCATGTGGGGCAAGTTACTGGCATCCAGTGATTTCAGAAGCTAGGGATGCTGCTAAACATACTACAACACACAGGACAGCCCCACAGCAAGGAATTACTGAGCCTAAAATGTCAAGTACACAGGGTAACAGCCCTGCCCTGAGGAAGCTGGACAAAAATGTGTGTGTTGACAAAAGCAGTGATCAGTGCTAAGGCATGACTTCTTTAGAAATGACCCAGATGGGACAAAGAAGTTTGAAGTCCAAAATTCACAGGAATCAAGAAAGTATAAAGAATAGGGCTGGGAATGTGGCTTGCCTAGCATGAAGCCCTGGGTTCAATTCCTCAGTACCACATAAACAGAAAAAGCCAGAAGTAGCATAGTAGAGTACTAGCAAGTAGTAGAGTACTAGCAAAAGAAGCTCAGGGACAGTGCCCAGGCCCTGAGTTCAAGCCCTAGGATTGGCAAAAAAAAAAAGTATACAGACTAAAGAATCTCTAGTGAAGGTAATATTCTGTTTGACACAACTGTGTTTATGTCATTGTTTATGTAGTAGGTATTGTCCAATCAACTACTGTAGGAATTTTGAAATAACATTCTGAAGTAATTTCAAGGTTCTACATAAAAATTAAAATGTATCTCAGGGCTGAGAATGTGGCTTAGTGGTAGAGCGCTTGCCTAGCAAGAATTTAGCCTTGAGTTCAATTCCTCAGTACAACACACAGAAAGAGCCAGAAGTGGAGCTGTGGCTCAAGTGGTAGAGTGCTAGCCTTGAGCAAAACAAGTTCAGGGACAGTGTCTAGGCCCTGAGTTCAAGCCCCAGGACCAGCAAAAAAAAAAAAATTTATCTCAGTGAAATTTACTTGTCAGTCTTGAAATTGTTGCTACTTCACAAATTTTTACCTATCCTGGGGGTCTCTGGAACATAATGCCCACTGTAGGTGAGGGATCACTATTTACATATTAAAAAAAAAACCACAATACAATGAAGATGGAATAAGTGAACCATGACATAGCAAGGGACAACTGTATTACAGTAATTATTTTGAAGGGGAAAAGCACTCATTTACATTTATATGTTTTGCTACACTTCTTTTCTTTTCAATATTTTTGCTTTATTTTGTTTTATAGTCCTGAGCTTGAACTCTGGTCTGGGCTCTATCCTTGAGCCTCTCTGTTGCTCAAGGCTAGCACTATACCACTTTGAGCCACAGCACCACTTCAAGCTTTTTCTGAGTTTATTGACTCAGAGACTTTCCTGCCCTGGCTGGCTTTGAACCATGATCGTCAAATCTCAACCTTCTAAGTAGCTAGGAGTATAGGCATGAGCCACTGGTGCCACGCTTGCTATACTTCTTTTTTAAAACCAAAAACACATTACTTTATAGTTACATACTATACTGAAATTTTTAGAACTTGTTATTTGTTAGATTTATTCAAAGCTTTGCTAATAGTGTATTTTTACTTCAACTGTAAATAATGTACTTTAAATTTATAAAAATGTGCAGGAGTCTTGACAATGACTATTGCATTCTTACAGGGTTTATGCAGAGGCACTCGGTATTCGTTATAGTGAAAGGGTCGTATTTGTCTGCGGTGACCAGTACATCAGGTACAGGGTACACTCTCAGTGCATAGTCATACGCCCAGTACACTGGGCAGACATACAGAGGCAGAGGAGTAAGATGTCCTTGGGATAGGATAGTCTTTACAAACTACAACAGAACACAAAACAAAGCAAACTTCAGTTCACTTGTAAAACAGAATTAAAAAAAATTAAAATAGTTACAACAAGCAATTTCAAATGAAATAATTACAAATAGGATCTAGAAAATTTGAGACATACAATTAGGGGAACCTGAACCACAGAGCTTTGGTAAACACTGATAAAAAATGAAATTAATTATTCTGTATTTTAAGAGATAAACCTATGAATTTTCATTTACTACCATATGTATAACATAGTCCTATTGGATTAGTTGCACAAATAACTCATTTCCTAATTCCTAAAACCAACTGCATAGTGTTCTGCACAGTGGTACTTTTAATCCTGGTTGCACAAGAGGCTGAAGCAGGAGAATCACTTCAAACCCAAGTTTGGAGACAGCCTAGGCAATGTCGTGAGACAATAGCAATACTAACACTAATACTAATACTACTAATAATATAATAATAATTCCATGCTTTGAGTAAAGCCACAAATCAATAGATAGCCTACAGGATTTGACAACTTTAGGTTTCTTTTTTAAGTTATTATAGAGTTTCACTATGTAACCAGGCTGGCTTCCAGTCCCTCAATTCTGCCTTCCAAGGGTTAGGATTACAGTATACTCAACTTTGCCTGGCTATCAGGAAACTTTGAAGCTGCAATATAAACATTCCATATCCTCCCATATCAAATGGGTAATAACATGCTAAATATGAATATTTTATTAAACAGACATAAAAGTATTTAAAATACAATTTAAGAGATTTAAAGGCAAAACAGAAAGCTTCAGAGAAATTCCCTGCTTGTTGTGGACTTTGTTTTTCACCCATTAGAAGACCTTTTGTGGAAATTTGAAAAACAATGACTTACTAACAAAAATCACTAGGCTGGGTATATAGCCTAAGTAGTAAGATGCCTGGTTAGAAAGACTGGGACCCTGTACCACCAAATCCCCAGTATTGAAATAAAGAGGCACTGTGTGTGGGGCTTGAACTCAGGGTCTTGCACTCTTGCTTGGCTTTTTCATTCAAAGCTGGCAATCTACCACTTGAGCTATACCTCTACTTACCCTAGTATTGAAATAATTACTGAAAAAAGTATATTCAGATTACTTTGCACCACAAGTAAACATAATAACATAAGTGTAAATTAAGGGGCTTAACAAAATTTTGTATATAGTAACAAAGGAGTCCAACCAAAAAGTTGACTTACATGATTAGGAATATCCAAATTGCTACTAGGAAAACGGACACAGTTTCTGCACATTTTATTCACTAAGTCTTCACGAAAAATAATAATTTCTTGTGTACAATACTGAATTCTGAAATAAAGCAATAGTTGATTTGACTTCCTTAGGAAAACATAGAAGGTAATTTTAAAGGCAAAATATAGAATACAAAACCATCCCCATGTAAATATTTAGTCTACCTTATCTAGTAATCCAGTCAATGACTTATTTAGCTTTTGTTGGCCTGTTTGTTTTGTTTCTGCAGTGCTGGGAATTGGACCCAGGGCATCATGTATGTAGGGCAAGTGTACTACCACTGAGCTATATGCCCAGCCCTTTACCAAATGGTAACCATGTGCCTACCACTATTCTAGGGAGGGGTAAGCAAAACAAAAAGATCCTAGCCCTCAAGCATAGAGGTGAAGTAGACAAAATAAACATGCCAATTTGTTAGAATGTTGGAAGGTGGTTAAGAATATGGGGAAAAGAAAAAAGCTGCCGGGCCCTGGGGTTCAAAGCCAGCCGGGACAGGAGAGATCGTGAGACTCCTATCTCCAATAAACCACCAGAAAACCGGAAGTGGTGCTGTAGCTCAAGTGGTAGAGCGCTCGCCTTGAGCTGAAGAGCTGAGGGACAGCGCCCAGGCCCCACGACCGACCAAAAAAAAAAAGAAAAAAGCTAAGGATCGTACCAAAGTATTCACACATATGTTTTTTGTCAGTCATGGGGTTTGAACTCGGGGCTTGAGTACTGTACCTGAGCTCTTTTTGCTCAAGACTAGCACTCTACCACTTTGAACAACAGTGCCAATCCCAGTTTTCTGGTGGTTAATTAGAGATAAGAGTCTCACATTTCCTGCCCCAGGGGGCTTTGAACAATGATCCTCAGATCCCAGCCTCTGGAGTAGCTAGGATTACAGGCATTAGCCTCCAGCTCCGGGCATTTTTTTTTTTTTCTTAGACCAGAGTATTAAATAGGATGAGTGAAACAGGAAGGGTTCAGAAGGAAGAATGATATGAAGACACGCTTGAAGGAGGAACCATCTTTTTCATCTAAAGAGGAATACTGGGAACAGGCAGACAGACCCTAAGACTAGAGTATGCCTGGCATGCACTCAAGAGTGTTGTGAAAGGAATAAACACCAAGAGAAGAACAAATCAGGGCTGGGAAGGTGGCTTAGTGGGAGAGTGCTTGCCTAGCAATTGAACCCAGAGGGTTCAACAGAAAAAGCAAAAGCTGGAAGTGGCACAATGGCTCAAGTAGTAAAGTGCTAGCCTTGAGCAAAAGGAGTTCAGGGACAGTGCCCAGGCCCTGAGTTCAAGTCCCAGGACTGGGAAAAAAAAGATAGCAAAAGAGAAGAACAAATCAGACAAGTACTGGCCAGATCATCCAGGTAGGGCCTTGATTACCACTGCATGAATATGGGTTGTAAATGAATGACATGAGGGGCCTCTTAGTTCAGGACCAGGACCGTGATATGCTGTAATTACTATGACATTGCGTTAACAGACCATAGGGGGGGAAGGGGTAGAATAATCCATGCTAGCCAGGTGTAAGAAGGTCATAGATGGGGAGATAAAAAGGTAGCCAGAGGCTGGGTGCCCTTGGCTCACACTTGTAATCCTAACTATTCATGAGGCTGAGATCCAAGGATAAGGGTTTAGAGCCACCCAGATAGGACAGTCTCTTATTTCAATTAACTACCAAAAAACCAGAAATGTAGCTTTGAGCACAAAAGCTCATGGATAGCCTTGAGTTTGAGTCCCAGGACCAGCAAAAAAAAAAAAAAAAAGGTGGCCAGATAATGGATGTATTTTGAAGTTGATAGGCCTGTGTGAAAAAACAGCAAATGAAAGAAACTTTAAAGTTTTCGGCCCAAGCAACTGGACAGATAAAGAGTGCTTTGAACTTCAGGATGGCTACAAAACAGTGAGGGGAATGGCAGGGAAGATTAGAGCTTATTTTTCAGGAGAAAGGTCTGAATTAGGATATAAATGTGGTAGTTGCCAATACAGAGAAGATATTTATCTAATTTTAGATTCCCTTCCATTATTTAAGCATCTAAATGTATTACTGGTTTGTATGAATATAGTTAGAATATTTTCAAAGTTTTGGGAAATCTAAAATTGAAATAAGTTTCCTTTTTTCTCTTTTTCAGTTTTTTAAATTGTTATTATAAAGGTGATATATAAAGGGGTTAGTTTTGTAAGTCAGGTAATAACTACATTTCTTTTTGGATAAAGTCACCATGAATTTCTTTTTTATATTTATTCCTAAACAATCAAAACAAATTTGAAAAGGAAAGTTTTAAGTTAAAAGGAGGGAAAAAAGTATAACACAAAATCCTAATATTTACCTGCAAGGATTAGTGGTAAAAACTGAAAACGGAACCTTTTGTCTGAACTCACGAATGATGCTTTCAGCAAGTGGTGGCCTATGGAAACAATTCATGTGACACAGAATGTAGATTATATACGATAGAATGGTCTTGACTATTACTGAAATCAGAATAAATGTTACCTTGGTAAGATTAATCCAAATCCAGGATCCTCCGGACCAGGTACAAACACAAAACGACTACTGTAGCAAAATTCAGCACAATTTAGAATTTAACAATATGGTAATACTACCCTGGAGTCTAAAATAATAACTGCCTTTAGCTGAATCATAGACTTATGATACTTTGCAGTATTTTTCTTAACACTATGTATGTCTCACTATATAGCCTAGAATGGCCTTAAACTCAAGATCATCCTGTCTCAACCTCCCAGTTACTCTGATAACAGGTATATGTCACCATGTCCAGCTAATTTAATAAATGAATGTTAAAAGTCTCCAGTCCAACACTATCTAATAGGATGATGACAAAACTGCTCTATATCTTCACAGTCCAGTTGCTCAGCATTTGAACTGTGGCTAGTGTGGCTAATGGACTACATTTCAAATTTATTAAACTGACATAAAAATAATCACTTGTTTTTAATACTTTTCATTATATATCTAAAGAACAGCATAACATATATATTTTTAAATTATTTTTATTTTTTTTTTGTGGGTCATGGGTCTTGAACTCTGGGCTTGGGTGCTGTCCTTGCACTCTTCAGCTCAAGGCAAGCGCTCTACAGCTTGAGCCACAGCATCACTTCCGGTTTTCTGAATGGTTTATTGGAGATAAGAGTCTCATGGACTTTCCTGCCCTGGCTTTGAACCATGATCCTCAGATCTCAGCCTCCTGGGTAGCTAGGATTACAGGCGTGAGCCACCCATGCCCTGCCAGCATAACATATATTAAGATAATTTTATCTTTTAGCTCTTAACTTTTTCTTTTGGGTCCGGTCGTGGGGCCTGAACTCTGGGCCTGGGCGCTGTCCCTCAGCTCTTCAGCCCAAGGCTAGCACTCTACCACTTGAGCCACAGCACCACTTCCGGCTTTTTTCTTTTTGCTTATGTGGTGCTGAGGAATCGAACCCAGGGCCTCAGGCATGCAAGGCAAGCGCTCCACCACTGAGCCACCTTCCCAGCCCTTTTTTTTTTTTTTAATCTTATTAATTTATTTTTTTATTGTGAAAATACTGTACCGAGGGGTTACAATTACATGGGCAAGATAATGAGTACATTTTTTATCAAGCATTGTAGCCTCCTCCTTTGTTTCCCCTTCCCATCCTCCCCCCAGCCCCCAATTTTTTATTTTTCTTTCTGCTAGTAACATCTTAATAATCATTAACATAAAACTTAAGATTCACTTTTGGTTTTTGCTAAATAAAACATATAGCTGTAGAGATCATTACCTTTGGTGAATATTTGGGTATTCACATATTATGTCTGCCAAAGTTTTCAGGGAATCTAAAGTTTTAAGAAGACATTATATTGGTTAGGAAGGTGGCTTAGTGGTAGAGTGCTTGCCTTGCATGCATGAGGCCCTGGGTTCAATTCCTCAGTACCACATAAGCACAGAAAGCTGGAAGTGGCACTGTGATTCAAGTGGTAGAGCGCTAGTCTTGAGCTGAGAGCTGAGGGACAGTACTCAGGCCCATAGTTCAGACCCCACACCCAACAACAAAAAAAAGTGCCTGACATAGACTTAATAAAATGCAAATATTATGGATAATTTCTTGTCAGTTGGGTTTATATAAATATAAAAACTCCTTTTTATTTCTTTGGTCATTGGCTTGAACTCTGGGCCTGAGTGCTGTCCCTCAGCTCTTCAGCTCAAGGCTAGCGCTCTACCACTTGAGCCACCACACCACTTCCAGTTTTCTGGTGGTTAATTGGAGATAAGAGTCTCACAGACTTTCCTGCCTGGGCTGGCTTTGAACCACTATCCTCAGATCTCAGCCTCCTTAGTAGCTACGATTACAGGCATGAGCCACCAGCACCCAGCTAAAAACTCTTATAAAATAAGTCTATAGTACCTTTGAAAGCTTGAACTTGATTTTTCCCATAGGGTGCAGATGAAAAATTACCACACAGAATAAAGCAGGTTGGTGGTGCTGGTGAGTAACCTAGAGAAAACAAACATCAACTTTCAAGTCTAGAAGTCAATTTTAAAAATCTTTAACCACAAAATGCTGAAATTAAGATACAGGATGGCCCATTGTACAACATCGAGATGTACAAGACACTATGTTGAATATGAACTTTACAACCTGGGGGGTGGGGGAGTGAGGAAGTAGGGAGGAAAGAGATGGTGGGGGAAAAACAAAGGAGGGGGTAACAATGCTTGATAGGAAATGGACTCGTTACCTTGCTCATGTAACTGTAACCCCTCTGTACAGTATCTTTTTTTTTTTTTTTTTGGGTCCGGTCGTGGGGCCTGAACTCTGGGCCTGGGCGCTGTCCCTCAGCTCTTCAGCTCAAGGCTAGCACTCTATCACTTGAGCCACAGTGCCACTTCCGGCTTTTTTTGTTTTTGCTTATGTGGTGCTGAGGAATTGAACCCAGGGCCTCTGGCATGCAAAGCAAGTGCTTTACCACTGAGCCACCTTCCCAGCCCTCTGTACAGTATCTTTACAAAAAAATATATATAGATACACACACACACACACACACACACACACACACACACACACACACACACACACACACACACACACACACACACGCCAGTCCTAGGGCTTGAACTCAGGGCCTGAATACTATCCCTGAGCCTCTCTGTGCTCAAGGCTAGCACTCTACCACTTGAGCCACAGCACTTCTACTTTTCTGAGGGGTTTATTGGAGATAAGAGTCTCATGGCCTTTCCTGCCCAGACTGGCTTTGAAAGTGTTCTACCACATTGAGCCATAGCACCGTTTTGCATTTTCTGGTGGTTAATTGGAGAAAAGAGTCTCACGAACTTTCCTGCCCGGGCTGGCTTTGAACAGTTATCCTTAGAGCTCAGCTTCCTGAGTAGTGAGGATTATAGGCATGAGCCACTAACACCTGGCAGTCCTAAATTATTATTATTTTGTTGTTGTTGTTGTTGGTCATGGGGCTTGACTCTGGACCTGGGCACTGACCCTCAGCTCTTCAGTTAAGGCGAGTACACTACCACTTGAGCCACCATGCCACTTCCGGTTTTCTGGTAGTTAACTTGAGTCTCACAGACATTTTTGCCCAGGCTGGCTTTGAACCATGAGCCTCAGATCTCAGCCTCCTGAGTAGGTAGGATTATAGGCACCCGGAAAGAATCTTTTTACTCTTGCTTCCCAAGCTGACTTCTTAATTTATGGACCCTTGTGATCCTGCCTCAGCCTCCAATGTAGCTGAGATCACAGGCATGGCACTGTACCCAGGTTTTTCAGTGCTATGGATTGCTCCCCTGGGAGCAATCCTCACACAATAATGTATGTGTATACTCTTACCATTGTGCTACACCTTCAGCCCCTGTAAGTTTTAAATGAGAAAATTTTATGTTAATAACTCTAATAGGGGCTGGGAAGGTAACTCAGTGGTAGAGCGCTTGCCTTGCATGCATGAGGCCCTGGGTTCGATTCCTCAACACCACATAAGCAGGAAAAAAAAAAAGCCGGAAGTGGTGCTGCGGCTCAAGTGATAGAGTGCTAGCCTTGAGCTGAAGAGCTGAGGGACAGCGCTCAGGCCCAGAGTTCAGGCCCCACGACCGGACCAAAAAAAAAAATAATAATAATGCCAGTCCCAGGGCTTGAATGCTGTACCTGAGCTTTTTTGTTCAAAGCTAACATTCTATCACTTGAACTACAACTCCAACTTCCAACTTTTTTGGTTGTTGTTGTTGGTTGTGGGGCTTGAACTCTGGGCCTGGGCTCTGTCCCTCAGCTCTACAGCTCAAGGTGAATACTTTACCTTTAGAGCCACAGCACCACTTCTGGTTTTCTGTTGGCTAATTGAAGAGTGGGGGGGGGGGGGGGGGGAGAGGAGGGGGAATGGGAAGGGATGGGAAGGGGAAACAAAGGAGGAGGCAACAATGCTTGATAAGAAATGTACTCATTATCTTGCCCTTGTAATTGTAACCCCTCTGTGCGGTATTTTCACAATTAAAAAAAAGGGGGGGGGGGGCTGGGAAGGTGGCTCAGTGGTAGAGCGCTTGCCTTGCATGCATGAGGCTCTGGGTTCAATTCCTCAGCACCATATAAGCAAAAAGAAAAAAGCCGGAAGTGGCACTGTGGCTCAAGTGGTAGAGCGCTAACCTTGAGCTGAAGAGCTGAGGGACAGTGCCCAGGCCCAGAGTTCAGGCCCATGACCAGACCCCCCCCCCCAAAAAAAAAAAAGAGTCTCAGGGACTTTCCTGCTTCTGCTGGCTTTGAACCATGACCCTCAGATCTCAACCTTCTTAGTAGCTAGGATTACAGGTGTGAGCCACCAGCGCCTAGCTCACTTACAGCTTTATGGTGGTAATTGTAGGTAAGAGTCTCAGACTTTCCTGCCCAAGCTGGCTTCCAACTGCAATCTCAAATTTCAGCCTCTTTAATAGATAGGATTACAGACTGAGCCTCGAGTGCCAGGGAATAAGAAACCATTTTAATGATTTGTTTGTTGTGTACTGGTACTGGGGCTTGAACTCAGGGCCTATACTCTCAATTGGCTTTTTCCATGCAAGGCTAGAGAACTGCAAGGCTAGAGAACTACCACTTGAGCCACAGCTCCACTTCCACCTTTTTGCTAGGTAACTGAAGATAAAAGTCTCACACGCTTTTCTACCCTAGATGTTTGAACCACAGCCCTCAGATCTTAGACCCCAGAGTAGCTAAGATTACAGCCACCACCACCCAGCTTAATAACTTATTTTATTTACAGTAATAAAGATAATGGCCATTTACTCAACACTTACTATATGCAAAGCCCTGTCTTGGCTTAATTCTCAGAACACCTGTCCAATCTGGGACTTAAAAAGGTTAAGTAACATGCCTAAAGTTTAATCAATTTGTTAGATTCCAAAGACTCTTTAAGTAACACTAAGTATAGTTTAGGCCTAATTCCAATTTTTTATGAATATGCACACATATATTCACATGTTTATCATAGGCCAGGGCTACTATCTCATTCTTGATTCAATATGTTTAGTATTTAAAAATAATTTAGAGCTGGGAGACGGTGGCTCATACCTGTAATCCTAGCTACTCAGGAGACTGAGATCTGAGGATCACAGTTCAAAGCCAGCCTGGGCAGGAATGTTCATGAGACTCTTATCTAAAAAACCAGAAGTGGCGCTGTAGCTCAAGTGGTAGAGAGCTTGCCTGAGCTAAAGAGCTGAGGGACAGCACCCAGGCCCAGAGTTCAAGACCCATGACCGCCACCACTACCACCAATAATAATAATAATTTAGGAGGAAGTGGCGTTGTGGCTCAAGTGATAGAGCCCTAGCCTTGAGCTAAAGAGTTCAGGGACAGAGCCCCAGACCAGAGTTCAAGACCCATGATGAGCAACAACAATAAAAAATAATAATAATAAATAATTTAGGAGCTGGGCTCCGGTGGCTCATGCCTATAATCCTAACTACTCAGGAGGCTGAGATCAGAAGCTCATGGTTCAAAGCCAGCCTGGGCAAAAATGTCTGTGAAGGGGCTGGGAAGGTGGCTTAGTGGTAGAGCGCTTGCCTTGCATGCCTGAGGCCCTGGGTTCGATTCCTCAGCACCACATAAGCAAAAAGAAAAAAAGCCAGAAGTGGCACTGTGGCTCAAGTTGTAGAGCACTAGCCTTGAGCTGAAGAGCTGACGGACAGCGCCCAGGCCCAGAGTTCAGGCCCCACGACCGGACCCCCCCCCCCCAAAAAAAAAAAAAAACCGGAAGTGGCATGGTGGCTCAAGTGGTAGTGTACTCGCCTTAGCTGAAGAGCTGAGGGTCAGTGCCCAGGTCCAGAGTCAAGCCCCATGACCAACAACAACAACAACAAAATAATAATAATAATTTAGGACTGCCAGGTGTTAGTGGCACATGCCTATAATCCTCACTACTCAGGAAGCTGAGCTCTAAGGATAACTGTTCAAAGCCAGCCCGGGCAGGAAAGTTCGTGAGACTCTTTTGCCCAATTAACCACCAGAAAATGCAAAATGGTGCTATGGCTCAAAGTGGTAGAACACTAGCTTCGAAAAAAAAAATCTCAGGGACAGGGCTAAGGCCCCAAGTTCAAGACCCACAACCAACAAAAAAATTTAGGGCAAAGGATGAAACAACTGTAGCAGTGGTACTCACTAGACACTGAAATGAACTATACAACTTATAGTTCAGGATGGGAGGGAAAAACTGGGAGAGAGCAAGGGGAGGGGTGATACTGCTCAGCAAGAAATGTACTTATGACCTGACATGTAACTGTAACCCTCTATACATCACTTTGATAATAAAAAATTTAAATAAATTTAAATATATTAAAAAAATTAGGTCGTACCTGAATTGTCAAATGGTAACTAACTCCTCTGAGTAACAGTTTAGTAGTAACAATAAAATTATCTTTAAAAATAATTTAAGTGGTTTTCTTGTTGGTATTTTGACCTGGGAACTTGCTGTGTTATCCAGGCTGATCTCTAACTCCTAGGCTCAAGCAATCCTCACATTGAAGCCTTCTGAATGGCAGAAAATAACATCCTCCATACATGGAGGCATGTACTTTTAGACATTAGCCATCATTACAGTTCAAAACAAGACAAATAGGAAAGAAAAAAAACCTACCAGAAAACATTGTGTGAAGTTTTTCTAGTACTTCTACTTGGTCCAACCAGACATCAGATATGAACACAAACATGGCATCTTTATTCTCTTCTTCCAATTGTTTTAGTTTTACAGAAGTCTTCACAGATGTATTAGAAGGACCGCCAAAAAAGTTAATACTTCCATAGTATGCCCTATGAAATTATCACAATTATTATCCTTTGTCTTATATTTTGTTCACCAAGATATAAAAAATACTGATATCATAAATCAATCATATAATATCACAGTATTTCAGAGTAGTAGAAAATGTTAAACAGGCATAAACTGCATATCATAAACTGCCTCTCATTAAACAGGCTACAAAAGAATGTCCAGTATGCATTCATTTATATGACAAAAATAAAAGTAATATGTACTGGGCGCTGGTGACTCACACATGTAATAAATATTAGCTACAAGGAGGCTGAGATCTGAGGATCATGGCTGGAAGGCAGCCCAGTCAGGAAAACCCATGAGACTCAACCACCAAAAATCTGGAAGTGGAGCTGTGGTTCAAGTGGTAGAGTGCCAACTTTGAGCAAAAAAGCTTAAAGACACCAGGACTAGCAACCACAACAACAAAAGAGGAACAGACACAGGCCTTCACTTCTCCTCTCTACTCGACCTGCTGCAGGGCTGCAGCTTCTTGCACTCTCCCATTCTAGTCACTGAGGCTGTAACACCAGGATCATGTCGCCTTGCACTTCAGCGGGGACCATGCATGCCTACCAACTCAAATTGTTTGTTAATCTGTATGTAACTATTGGTTGTATTCTGTGTATCATGGGTTTCCAGATAGACTTTAGCTAGAATTCATGAGTAATGAGAATTCTGTCTCTGTCTCTATATATATGTGTCTTTTCTCTATATATCTTCTTATATATATATAGTTATCTTCTCTCTCTATATATATGCATACACACACACACACACACACACACACACACACACACACACACACACACACACACACACGCCTGAGGCTGAAGCCAGCCCAGGCAGAAAAGACCATGAGACTCTTATCTCCAATAAACTATTCAGCAAAAGCCAGAAGTGGCACTGTATCTCAAGTGGCAGAGTGCTAACCTTGAGCACAAGAAGTTCAGGGATAGCATCCAGGCCCTGAGTTCAAGCCCCAGGACTGGCAAAAAAAAAAAAAAAAAAATTAGGCTGAGCACCTATAATCCTAGTTATTCAGGAGGCTGAGATCTGAGAATAGCAGTTCAAAGCCAGTCTGTGAGACTCTTATCTCCAATTAGCAACCAGAAGACTAGAAGTGGAGCTGTGGGTCAAAGTGTTAGAGCACTAGCCTTGAACAAAAATAGCTCAGGGATAGTGCCCAGGCCCTGAGTTCAAAGCTACATGACCAACAAAAAAATAATAATAATTTTTTGTGCCAGTACTGGGGCTTGAATTCAGGGCCTCATACTCTAACTTGGATTTTTTCACTCAAAGCTGATTTCACACCTCCATACCTTCTGGCTTTTTGCTGGTTAATTGGAGATTAGAGTCTCCAAGACTTTTCTACTTAGGGCTATGAATCACAATCCTTAGATCTCAGCGTCCTGAGAGGCTAGAAGTACGGGCATGAGCTACCAGCACCCAACTAAAACAGCTCTTTTGTATCTGTGCTGTGATAGCATTGAACTGGAGGCCTGATGAAGCTTAGCGTGTGCTACTCTACCACTGAGCCAACCCTCAGCTCTGAAAAAAATATTCTTTTAAAGAACCCAGCTTGGTGGTTCATACCTGTTACTTCAGAACTTAGAAGGCAGAAAGATCATGAGTTTGAGGTCAGCCTGGGCTACCTGGCAAGTTCTAGACCAGCTACATAGTAGGCTACATAGTAGAATCCTGTCTGAAAAAAAATCAAGGGCTGGAAATGTAGCTCAGTGGCAGAGCACTTGGCTAACATGAACAAGGCCTTAGATATAATCCACAACATTGTAGGAAAAAAAAATTTTTTTTTTTTTGGGTCTGGTCGTGGGGCCTGAACTCTGGGCCTGGGTGCTGTCCCTCAGCTCTTCAGCTCAAGGCTAGCGCTCTACCACTTGAGCCACAGTGCCACTTCCGGCTTTTTCTCTTTTTTTTTTGCTTATGTGGTGCTGGGGAATCGAACCCAGGGCCTCAGGCATGCAAGGCAAGCACTCTACCACTGAGCCACCTTCCCAGCCCCTATAGAAATCTTTTTAAAAAACAACTCAGCTACTAATCCAATGTAGCAAGTAAGAATCTCCAGGATCAAAGCACATCTCTGCTAGTAAGAAGTTTGTGATTTAGACAAATTACTCAACCCTTCTTCTTAGCCTGACTCTCCTCAAATGCAATGTGGCCAGACCTATACTGATTACACAGTGTTCTACAAGGAATACAAAATAATGTACTAAAGGTCCTTAGGACACAGTGTTCAGTACAATGTGAGCACTCTCACATGATAACTACTGTTGCCAACAATTAGACATTTTTTTTTTTTTTTTTTTTGGTCCGGTCGTGGGGCCTGAACTCTGGGTCTGGGTGCTGTCCCTCAGCTCTTCAGCTCAAGGCTAGTGCTCTACCACTTGAGCTACAGCACCACTTCCGGCTTTTTTTTTTCTTTTTGCTTATGTGGTGCTGAGGAATCGAACCCAGGGCCTCAGGCATGCAAGGCAAGCGCTCTACCACTGAGCCACCTTCCCAGCCCAACAATTAGACATTTCAAAGGCATCATCTTATAGCCTTGCAGTTATTAGGGGAATGTAATAACTAGATAAAATTATACAACTTGAATTGAGTAATACCCAACATAAAGACTCAAACGCTTATGGATTCCAGGAAAGTACCACTAAACATTAAAGCAAAAGCCAGCTGAGATTAATGGTACATATACATTCCCTGCCATAGATGAGTGCTCATTGCCAGATGAGGATTCAGGTGTAGTCATCGAGAGAACTGAGAAATCTAGACTTTTGGGCTGGGAAGGTGGCTCAGTGGTAGAGCACTTGCCTTGCATGCATGAGGCCCTGGGTTCAATTCCTCAGCACCACATAAGAAAAAAGCCGGAAGTGGCGCTGTGGCTCAAGTGGCAGAGCGATTACCTTGAGCTGAAGGACAACGCTCAGGCCCAAAATTCAGGCCCCACAACTGACAACAAAAGAAGAGAGAGAGAGAGAAATCTAGACTTTTGGAGATAAACCTAATTTTTGTTCATTGGACACTAACGTAAAATGTTTTTAAATACCTGAGGTCGGGGAGGAGGTCTGCAGAGTACATAGTCAATCCTTAGGTTTCTAGCTACATATTTAATACATTTTTCAGCCTCTGCTCCAACACCCTGAGCAACAGAGTATTTCTTCTGGTGAGCCTTTTAGAGTTACTCTAATATTAAGACATTTTTTACTTATAGTAAAGAGTTATAATCTGTCCCTTGCAACTTTCATTTGTGAGTAGAATGCAAAAACAAGGCCTTTACATTGATAGGAGAATTGTATTCTTCTGAGTGTTTTCCTATCTCTTACTTCACTTGAACTCATCCACCTTACGTATAGGTAAGATAAGTAGACTGGAAATCTTCCCAGTTAAGGTCAACATAAAAAGCAGGGTGCCAGTGCCTCACACCTGTAATCCTAGCTACTCAGGAGGCTGAGATCTGAGGATCATAATTCAAAGCCAGCCCAGGCTGAAAAGTCCCCAAAAGACTCAGTTCTCCAATTAACCACTAGAAAACCAGAAGTTGAACTATGGCTTAAAGTGGTATAGTGCTAACCTTGAGCAAAAGAGCTCAGGGACAGCGCCCAGGCTGAGTTCAAGCCCCACGACTTACAAAAATAAAAATGTAAAATCAACATACAGACACGCTAATGAAAATACTCTAGAGTCTATATGCTAGTTTCAGAGTTTTATATAAGACTCCATCTTGTCTCATCTTCCATTGCTCTTCCCATCTTACCACAAACCCTGAGACCTTGTAATAACTAAGATATAACAAACTATCTTACATTCATCACTGCCAGTGTTACATAATTCCTACAGAATTTAAATCAAACATTTAATACCTAGTAGTACTAGAGGGCTCTGTAGGTGGAAATCCAAAAGCGTTCACATGAAACACATGATCTTCAAACCAACCTGAAAAAAGATAGGGAACAAATCACTCTCATTTGTCCAATTCCCCTCCTCCTTTAACAGGACAAACCTTTTAACACAAAGTAACAATTCTAGTTGGAGTCTCATGCCTTGCAAACCAATGAGAGAGAACTGCCAGTCCCACTGTGCTTTACAGCTTCAGAGCTATCGAATAGCCTAAATGTTATAAATAAAAGTATAAAAAGAGATGGGTACCAGTGGCTCATATCTATAATTTTAGCTACTCAGGAGGCTGAGATCTCAGGATTTCAGTTCAAAACCAGCCCAAGCAGGAAAGTCCCTGAGACTCTTACCTCCCAATTAACCATCAAAAAAGCTGGAAGAAGCCGGGCGCCGGTGGCTCATGCATGTAATCCTAGCTACTCAGGAGGCTGAGATCTGAGGATCATGGGGCTCATGCATGTAATCCTAGCTACTCAGGAGGCTGAGATCTGAGGATCACGGTTCAAAGCCAGCCCAGTCAGGAAAGTCTATTAAATTCTTACTCAAATTAACCACCAAAAAGGTAGAAGTGGTAGAGCACTAGCCTTGAGCAAAAAAGCTGAGGGACAGCACCTAGGCCCTGAGTTCAGGCCCCAGGACTTACACACACACAACACACACACACACTTTAGTGCATAACCCTATATGAAATTTAAAAGTTGCTTCAACTTTTATGAAACAATGTATTTATAGCTCAGATATCATACAATTCAACGTTTGTTTTTGTTTTGTTTTGTTTTTTTCAGTCCGGTTGTAGGGCCTGAACTCTGGGCCTGGGTGCTGTCCTTCAACTCTTCAGCTCAAGGCTAGCACTCTACCACTTGAGCCACAGCGCCACTTCCGGCTTTTTTTTTCTGCTTATGTGGTGTGAGGAATCGAACCCAGGGCCTCAGGCATGCAAGGCAAGCGCTCTACCACTAAGCCACCTTCCCAGCCCCACAATTCAACGTTTATATGCAAAACTCAGTAGTTAGTATTCTCCTCTACCTATGTTATAAACATTTTCATCATTCCTAAAAGGTTTCAGTCTCAGAGTTACCTAATGCTGTGGAGAATATACTATTGTAATCAATGTTCTCCCAAATTATACTTTGTTTCTGCACTATGCCCAGTGTAGACAGGGTTTTACTATGTAATAATGACATTACAGTGTGTGACGGGAAAAGTGTTCCCACCTACCTTCTGCTAAGACAAAGCACGCCTCTGTGTACAGACCACTATGGAACTGGTGCAGATCAGCTGAGGAAAACAACTCTGGAGGCAGTCAAACATTTTGAGCCCCAAAAAAATTTCTAAATGATTAACTCAAAAATATCTCATTTGAGCTAGGTGCCAGTGCCTCACACCTATAATCCTAGCTACACATGAGGCTAAGATCTGAGCATCACAGTTTGAAATGAGCTTGGAAAGTCTATGAGACTCCTACCTCCAATAAACTACTAAGAATCCTGCCAGAAGTTAAAGTTATGGTTCAAATGGTAGAGCACTAACCTTAAGAGAAAAAAACAGGGGCTGGGAAGGTGGTTCAGTGGTAGAGCGCTTGCCTTGCATGCCTGAGGCCCTGGATTCCATTCCTCAGCACCACATAAGCAAAAAAGAAATAAGCCATAAGTGGCGCGGTGGCTCAAGTCGTAGAGCGCTAGCCTTGAGCTGAAGAGGTGAGGGACAGCGCCCAGGCCCAGAGTTCAGGCCCCACGACCGGACCCAAAAAAAAAAAAAAGAAAGAAAGAAAGGAAGGAAGGAAGGAGGGGCTGGGAAGGTGGCTCAGTGGTAGAGCACTTGCTTTGCATGCATGAGGCCCTGGGTTCAATTCTTCAGCACCACATAAGAAAAAGCAGGAAGTGGTGCTATGGTTCTAGTAGTAAAGCACTAGCCTTGAGCTGAAGAGCTGAGGGACAGTGCCCAGGCCAAGTTCAAACCCATGACCAACAAAAAAAAAAAAAAAAGAAAAAAAAAAGAAAATTGAAAGTAAAGCTGTGGCTCAAAGTGGTTGAACACTAGACTTGAGTAAAAAAGCATAGTGTCAATGTCCAGGCACAGGCCCTGGGATTAAGCCCCAAGACAGACTGGAAAAAAAAAAAAAAGCAGCTCAAGTGAGGGAAGAGGTAACACTGTCCAAAAAGACATGTACTCATAGAGCCGGGCACTGGTAAGCTCACACCTGTAATCCTAGCTACTCAGGAGGCTGGGATCTGAGGATCACTGTTCAAAGCCAGTCTGGGCAGGAAAGTCCATGAGACTCTTTTTTTTTTTTTTTTTTTGTCGGTTGTGGGGCTTGAACTCTGGGCCTGGGCGCTGTCCTCAGCTCTTCAGCTCAAGGCGAGCGCTCTACCACTTGAGCTACAGCACCACTTCCGGTTTTCTGGTGGTTTATTGGAGATAGGAGTCTCACGGCCTCTTCTGCCCGGGCTGGCTTTGAACCGCGATCCTCCGATCTCAGCCTCCTGAGTAGCTAGGATTACAGGCGTGAGCCACCAGCGCCCGGCTCCATGAGACTCTTATCTCCAATAAACCACTAGAAAACTGGAAGTGGCGCTGTGGCTCAAGGAGTAGAGCTCTCATCTTGAGCTGAAGAGCATAGGAACAGCCTCCAAGTCCAGAGTTCAAGCCCCATAACTGACAAGAATAAAAGAAAGAAAAAATGAAATGTACTCATTACCAGACTTATATAACCATAACCCCTCTGCATATTACCTTTACAATGACAATTTTTCAAAAAAGAAGCATCTCTGGGACAGACAGTGTTCAGATCCTGAGTTCAAGCCCCAGGACACACATACACAAAGACATAATTTCTTTTTTTCTGGTGCCGGTCCTGGGGCTTGAACTCAAGACCTGGGGACTGTCTGAGTTTTTGTGCTCAAGACCAGTACTCTACCACTTTGAGCCACAGCACCATTTCTGGCTTTTTAGTAGCTAATTGGAGATGAGAGTTTCATGGATCTTCCTGCCCTGTCTGGCTTTGAACCATTATCCTCAGATCTCAGCCTTCTGAGCAGCTAGGATTATAGGCATGAGCCAACGCATAATTAATTTTTTTTTTTAAGTTTTAGAAGGATTTTTGTATGACACAGTTAAAATTGAAAGAAACAGAAAAAAAGAGAGAGAAACATTTCCTGTTCCCCATGCTGAGACATTTTTAGGTTTAAATGGCTTCAGGTTAAATTTAAAGACAGAACCAGATAATGACAAATGTAGATTATTCTTACCATGTTAATAACCTCTTCAATGACTTATCTGGATTTATGAAATTAGAAAGAATTAAAGTCAATTTTTTTTCTATTTAGGATTCTGTCTTTGTGATTACCTTTTGGAAATTACAATGGGAACCCAAACAGGTAAATTTGAAAATTAATATATTTTCATTTTCTCCAATTCATGTAACATAGTTGTGTGTGTGTGTGTGTGTGTGTGTGTGTATGGTATAAACCCAAAGTTTCATATGTGTTAAATTTCCATCTCTGTAATACTTTTTTTTCTTCTTTTGTAACATATCTTTGGGTAGGTAAAGGATATAGCTTTACTAAGATCCAGTTGTACTGTTCCAGTAGGATCTTCCAGAAAAAATTTCCCCTAAAACAGAATTAAGTGAAATTTAGTCATATTTACATAAAAAGAAACAGTATGAGGAGATAATAAAAATAATAACAAGCTGACAACTGACTAGAGAGAACAAGACATTTGTAAGCATCATCCCTTTTTTAGTTTGGTGAGCTTCAACTAACATTTAAGTGAGACTCAATCTCTCACAGATACTCTGAGGAATGACACTGGCAGATCCAGAGGTGGCAAGAGAGACCCGAGCTGCACACTATGAAGCCTCAGCAGTTGCTAAACTCCTAGGAGAAACACTTGCATCTTTTTTTTTTTTTTTTGGTCCAGTCGTGGGGCCTGAACTCTGGGCCTGGGCGCTGTCCTTCAGCTCTTCAGCTCAAGGCTAGTGCTCTACCACTTGAGCCACAGCGCCACTTCTGGCTTTTTTTCTTTTTGCTTATGTGGTGCTGAGGAATCGAACCCAGGGCCTCATGCATGCAAGGCAAGCACTCTACCACTGAGCCACCTTCCCAGCCCCAACACTTGCATCTCTAAGATGCCAGGATGCACGTTGCAGCTGCTGTATAGAACCCAGTACTCCCTTCAACCATGGGTCATTGTGACTTAATTTCAGCCTATTCAAACAGCGTGGCTGGATAATGCACTCCTTCCTGATGTCTACGCAGAAAGGCCAACACAGATGGAAAGGTTACTGAAGTGAGAATTTTCAAAGAATATGTTTCCAGGGCTGGGAAGGTGGCTCAGTGGTAGAGCGCTTGCCTTGCATGCCTGAGGCCCTGGGTTCGATTCCTCAGCACCACATAAGCAAAAAGAAAAAAGCTGGAAGTGGCACTGTGGCTCAAGGGGTAGAACGCTAGCCTTGAGCTGAAGAGCTGAGGGACAGCGCCCAGGCCCAGAGTCCAGGCCCCACGACCGGACCCAAAAAAAAAAAAAAAAATGTTTCCATACTCACTGCAGAAATGTTCTATGGTACCAATACATCACCTGTCCAAATACAAGTCTGCTGCATTTAAGTTTAACTCACCTCTTTCAACTGGGTTATCATTCCAAGGACAATCACATCTCTGATCTTGGTTGTACTACCCAATAAAGTTTCTATAGTTTTCAGCTAAAATAAATAAAACAAACTGTTACAGATTATATATACATTCTTTTAAGAAACAACTTTATAAATAAGTAAATCTAGGTATATATCAGAATGTACAGTAATTTTCTACTGTACAGAAGAAAATTAGCAAGTTTAATTTTATTCTACAGAAAGCTAAAATACCTCAGGGCGCCAGTGGCTCATGCTTGTAATCCTAACTACTCAGGAGGCTGAAATCTGAGGATCAGGGTTCAAAGCCAGCCCAGGCAGGAAAGTCTATGACACTCTTATCTCCAATAAATCACTCAGAAAACTGGAAGTGGCACTGTGGCTCAAGTGGTAGAGCACTCAACTTGAGCTGAAGAGCTGAAGGACAGCACCCAGGCCCAGAGTTCAAGCTCCATGACCAACAATAACAACAACAAAAAAGAAAGCTAAAGTACCAAATGTATGATGGACAGCAAGATTTAGGCCCCCAAAACAAATTACATGAATGTAGTCCATTACCAACAACAGAAAACTTCATGGTATATCATTGTGCATAATATTCTGCATAATATAACCATTTATTTTTTAAAAGAGTATCAGCTTTGAGCCAGGCACACCCTGTAATCTTAGTTCTTAGGAGGCTGAGCTCTGAGGATTGTGATTCAAAGCCAGCCTGGGCAGGAAAGTCCATGAGACTCTTATTTCCAAACAACCACCAGGAAACCGGAAGTGGAGCTGTGGCTCAAGTGGCAGAGCGCAAGCCTTGAGCTGAAGAACGCCAGGACAATACCTAAGCCCAGAGTTCAAGCCCCATGACCAACAAGAAGAAAAACAAAAAAAAGAATATCAGTTTTATTTATTTTGAGACAGTGTTTCATTATGTAGCCTTGGGTGGCCTCAAACAACCCTCCTACCTTCTTGAGTGCAAGGATTACAGGTGTATGTCATCACCCTGCTCAACTTTATCTCTCTAAAAACTAGGGAGTTTTAAAGATATATATTCTAATATTATTTATTTATTTAGGCCAGTCCTGGGACTTGAACTCAGGGCTTGGGCTCTGTCCCTGAGCTTCTTTTGTTCAAGGCCACTAGTGCCATGGTGCTACTTGCAGCTTTTTCTGTTTATGTGGTACTGAGGAATCAGACCCAGGGCTTCATGCATGCGAGGCAAGCACTCTACCACTGAGCCACACTTCCAGCCTCTAATATTATTTATTATTGTGGTTATTATGTATTATTGTTACTATTGTCTTGTGTTGGTACTAAGGCTTGAACTCAGGGCTTCAAATCCTACTTGTTTAGCATTTTTCCCTCAAGGCTGGTGTCTATCACTTGAGCGACATACTCACTTTTGGCTTTTTGCTGATTACTTGGACATAAGAATCTCTTGTATTTGTCTGCCTGGGCTTGCTTGAAACCCCAATCCTCAGACCTCTTGAGAAGTAGGATTATAGATAGGAGCCACTGGCACTGGGCTAATTTTATTATTTTGAAATTCTATTATTATTGTTTATATTCTCAATCTGATTATTAAACTTTTATCAGAAAGTTAAAGTAATAACAAGTGGGGTACTATTTAATTTTTTTTTCTCTCAGTTAGGCACTGATGGCTGATGCCTATAATCTTAGCTTCTCCAAAGGCCAAAGAAAGAAGCAGTAACTTCTAGTAGAGATTTGTAGAACTCATAAAACCAGGTATGGACTTTACCAGGGACATAGCCAGATTAGCTAGCTAGTTAAGAGTCAGGTCCATGCCCATAATACAGAAAACCTAAGAGGTGAAGCTTGGGATCCTGGTTCAAGGGAAGTCCAGGCAAAAACTTAAGGAGATTCCATGTCAGTCAATAAGCTAGTTATGGTGTCATGCACCTGTCATCTCAGCTACACAGGAAGCTATACTATGTGGTTTGAGGCTGGCCCTAAGCAAAGGTATCAGACTCTAGAATACCAGTGGTACTGAGGTCTGAACCTAGGGTTTTGAACTTGCTAAACAGGCGCTCTACCACTTGAGTCATATCCCCAGCCCTCAATAACAAAGCAAAGGGCTGGGAAGTTGGCTCAGTGCTAGAGTGCTTGCCTCGCATGCATGAGGCCCTGGGTTTAATTCCTCAGCACCATATAAACAGAAAAAGCCAGAAGTGGTGCTGTGGCTCAAGTGGTAGAGTGCTAGCCTTGAGCTGAAGAGCTGAGGGACAGCGCCCAGGCCCAGAGTTTAGCCCCCACACTGACAAAAAATCCCCACCAGATTCTACCTGGAAAACAATTAAAGGCAAGACAGGGTTATGACTCAAATGACAGAATACCTGTCTAATGAGAAAGATGCCACATGGTTTTCATTCAAAATTCAATGAATTAAAATTAAGCAATAAATATTAATCTTATATACTTATACTCCCCCCCCCCAAATAATTAGGATAATGTTCTAACCTGAAATTTGCTTCCACTTTCATCAGGGTGCGAACCTATCACTGGAGGAGTAAATAATTCATGTCTATGAGTCCTCTAGAAAAAAAAGAAAGATTGACATGAATTTCCGTGAAGTAGACATTTAAGCCCAAGAGTCAAGCAGGAGGTGTGGTTCAAATGGTACAGTCCTGAGTTTAAACCCCACTACCATCCCAAAAAGCAAAAACCTATGAAAATTGTGTGATGTTAAACACTGTCTTTAAACTTTTTTATATCCAACAAATGTGGAAAGCCACGTAATTTACTAACATAAAAGTACCTAGTAATTTTTTAAATTTTTTATCCTCCATGTTTTAAAATAATTATTATAGGGCTGGGATGTAGCTCAGTAGCAAAGTGCTTGCCTAGCAATTAAAACATCCTGGGTTCGATCCCCAGTACCAAAAAAGAAAAAAAAAAAAAACACAGTTAAAAAATTATTATAAAGGTAATGTATAAACAGGTTACAGTTTCTAGCAGTTCATTAATAAAAACATGAACAGTGAGGTTACTTGAAGATTCTCCATATAACATAGTACTGTGAGGGCTGTCAGTGTGCATGGTTAGAGTCATTAAGAAAACCTTACATGACCTTGGCTGAGCTGTTCCTTCTTTCTACCCCACCTGTCACTTCCTCAATCTAAATTATCACTAGCAACACTGACTTCTCTCATACTAATCCATCCTGAAATTGGCCAGCAGAGGAAGCTGTGACCGAACCTCTCTGGTATCCCCAGTCTCCTTAAATCAGGAGAACAGAATAATAACTTCTTAGAATCAGATCCAAAGTGCTCCTATGATTTGGTTCCCATTTGCCTTTCCAGACTTGCTCATAATTGCTCACCATTTCCTCCACAGAGTTATTACCCATGTCATATGCTACCAATTCCCTCATGACCGCCTTAATTTTTCCATTGAATGTATTATTTGTATGTCTTTTAGAGCACATATAAGATCCTACTTTACTTGAATATGGTATATGAAGTAGGCAAACAATGGGCTCCAGAAAGATCGATTCGAGACCTACTTCCATTCAGTTGATGCGATCTTTGAGCAAGTTGGTAAGCCTCCATTTCCTCATCACTCAAGTAAAAATAATGAAAGCATTTTACATCTAAGTAATGTTACAGGATTAACAAGGTAAGTTATGGGCATGACATACTAAACACAACATTGGTGTACCAAAGTCATGCATTACACGTGAGCTACTATTCTTTTTCACTGCCTTCATTACTCAAGGGAAATAACTTTTTGCATCTCTTCATTCCCTCTATTGTCCTAATCACATAAAACTTAGAAGTAACTTACTGCATAACTTAAAAAATGTATTGATTTTTGTGGTTTTGGTGGTACTAGCATTTGAACCCAGGGCCTTGTACTTCCTAGGCAGTACTCTACAGCTTGTGTGGCATCCCAGAATTGAATGACTAACTTTGAAGTGAAAAGTTTCATCTTTTAAGTATCCCTAAGATTTCTTATAGATGAAACAGTCTTTTTCTTCTCCATTTGACCCGTTGTTCCCCACAACTTACCTGGTGCAAAATGGTATAGCGTTCACGATACAGCTCAGCTTTATCTCTAGCTGTTCCAAACAAATTTGGTGCAGGATGGTTGGTCATTTTTAGACTACAAAAAAGGAATGACTACTTCTTATTGTCACAAATACACAAAGGTATGCCAAAAATAAAACAAAATTTCTCTAGGAGAAACATATTCAACTGAAATTCACTTATATACTTACGGAAGAAATTTTTTTCTTTCTGAGTTGTACACAAAACGTGGAATGTCAAAGGCTCCAATGATATTGAAAATATGGTCTCTGAAAAACACCCCACAATTCAAAGATGTGATTTACTAAAATAATACTAGATGAACATAATAACTCACATTATAATTCTATGTTAAACATAACATTTTCGAATTTTCTCAGGCCATATAATCAATTTATTATTGTGTCAAATAACATGGAAGTAAAGGTTTTGGTTTAAGCATTCTACATTTATGAGACAAAAAAGGGCCATGTGACAGGAGGCGAGTGGTTCTTACCTATAATCCTAGCAACTCAGAAGCCTGAGCTCTGAGGATCATGCTTTGAAGCTAGCCCAGGCAGAAAAATCTGTGAAAGCTTATCTGCAAGTAATCAGCAGAAAGCTGGGTATGGCTCAAGTGCTATATCAGCACTTGCCTTGAGTGAGAAAAAGTTAAGCAAGAGTACCAGGCCTTGAGTTCAAACACCCCCAGTACCAGCACACACACATACACAGTGCCATGTGAAGTAGCACATACTTGTTATCCCAGCACTTAGAAGGTAGAGCAGAAGGATCATGAGTTCAAGGCCAGCTTGGGCTACATAAGGAATTTTAGGCCTGCCTGGGTTACAAAGAAAGAAAACAAACTGGCCAAGCACAGGTGACTCACGCCTGTAATCCTAGCTACTCAGGGGGCTAAGATCTGAGGATGGTAGTTCCAAGCCAACCCAGGCAGGAAAGTTTGTGAGACTCTTGTCTCCAATAAAGCACTCAGAAAACCGGAAGTGGTGCTGTGGCTCAAGTGGTAGAGCGTTCTCCTTAAGGGAAGAGCTGAGGGATAGCGCCCAGGCCCAGAGTTCAAGCCCCATGACTGAAAAAAAAAAAAAAAATTAAACAAACAGGGCTGAGACATAGCTTAGTGGCAAAGCACTTGCCTAGCAAGTGCAATACCCTGGATTCAATCCCCAGTACCAAAAAAAAAAAAAAATAAACAAAAAAATGAAGTTAGGGGCTGGGAATGTGGCTTTGTGGTACAGTGCTTGCCTAACATACATGAAGCCCTGTGTTTGATTCCTTAGTACCACACTCACAGAAAAAGCCAAAAATGGCACTGTGGCTCAAGTGATAGAGTGCTAGCCTTGAGCAAAAAAAGCTCAGTGCCCAGGCCCTAAGTTCAAGCCCCAGGACTGGGAAAAAAAAATTTTTTTAAAAATCAAGTTAACTTCTAATTAAGAATGCCATCTAAGCCGGGTGCTGGTGGCTCACGCCTGTAATCCTAGCTACTCAGGAGGTTGAGATCTGAGGATCGAGGTTCAAAGCCAGCCCGGGCAGGAAAGTCCATGAGACTCCTATCTCCAATAAACCACCAGAAAACCGGAAGTGGCGCTGTAGCTCAAGTGGTAGAGCGCTCGCCTTGAGCTGAAGAGCTGAGGGACAGCGCTCAGGCCCAGAGTTCAAGCCCCACGACTGACCAAAAAAAAAAAAAAAAGAATGCCATCTAGCCAGGCACTGGTTCATGCCTGTAATCCTAGCTACTCAGAAGAATGAAATCTGAGGGGCTAGGAAGGTGGCTCAGTGGTAGAGCACTTGCCTTGCATGCCTGAGGCCCTGGGTTCGATTCCTCAGCACCACATAAGCAAAAAGAAAAAAGCTGGAAGTGGCGCTGTGGCTCAAGTGGTAGAGCGCTAGCCTTGAGCTGAAGAGCTGAGGGACAGTGCCCAGGCCCAGAGTTCAGGCCCCATGACCGGACCCCCCCCCCCCAAAAAAAAAAAAAAAAAAGAATGAAATCTGAAAATAGTGGTTCAAAACCAACCCAGGCAGAAGAGTCTGTGAAACTTTCATCTCCAATTAAGCAATCAGAAAACCGGAAATGGAGCTGTGGCTCAAAGTGGTAAAGTGCTAGCCTTGATAAAAATAAATAAATAAAAATAAAAATTATCTAGCTGGATGCCATTGGCTCATGTCTGTAATTCTAGCAAATGAGGAGGCTGAGATCTGAGGATGGTAATTCAAAGCCATCCTTGGCAGGAAAGTCTGTGACACTCTTCAATTAACCACCAAAAAGCCAGAAGTAGAGCTGTAGCTCAAGTGGTAGATTGCAAGCCTTGAGCAAAAAAGCCCAGAGACAGTGTACAGGCCCTGAATTCAAGCCCAGGATCAGTACAAAAAAGAAAAGAATTCCATTTATTGTAAAAGAACAATTATGTATAGAACAGTGACGTCTTCACTCCTTATGTATACTATTTTATGAACTATATATAATAAATAAAAAATAAAAAACAAAGGAGGCTACAATGCTTGATAAGAAATGTACTCATTACCTTGCCCATGTAGTTGTAACCCCTCTGTACAGTATTTTCACAATAAAAAAATATGATTCATTTTTTAAATCTTAAAATATTATACAAAATGTATCTCAAGGAAAAGTTAGAAAAAGACACAAAACACATATACACACCAAATTCTGTCTGCATCTTTGAGATTTTATATAGTGCTACAGATAGAAAGCAGTAAGTAATTTAATTGCAGACACATTAATAACATAACCGTGTTTTAATAAGGTTAAAAGAACTTACAACATTACATAAATATCCTAACCTGAAAAATACTCCCCAAAATTGTATGTGTATATCCCAAATTTAAAATGGTCAGTAAAGGTTATATTATGTAGTGGTAATGAGCAGTAGACAACTGGTGTACTAAGAGAAACACAGCCCAACTCTTTTCTAGTCAATCTGTCTGATCACATTATTTAACTGTCATGCAGTTTCTCAATTGGTTTTGGTTGTTGTTGTTTTGCCAGTTCTAGGGCTGAACTCAGGGACTGGGCACAGTCCCTGAGTTTCTTTGGCTCAAGGCTAGCACTTGAACCACAGGGCAACTTGTGGCTTGTTTATGTGGTAGTGAGGAATCAAACCCAGTGCTTCATGCATGCTAGGCAAGCATTCTACCACTAAGCCATATTCCCAGCCCTGATGTTTTTCAGTAGTAGGACTGTGCTCTACCACTTGAGCCCATTCGGCCTCTAGTCCTTGTCATTCCATTTCCTCATTTACAAAACTGAGAACCTCTTTGTTTTATTTATTTTTTGCAATCCTGGGTCTTGAACTCAAGTGTCTTAAGCACTGTCCCTGAGGTTATTTTTGCTCAAGGCAAGTGCTCTACCACTTGAGCCACAGAACCACTTCTAGCTCTTTCTGAGTAGTTTATTGGAGACAGGAGTCTCATGGACTTTCCTGCCCGAGCTGGCTTCAAACCATAATCCTCAGATCCCAGCCTCCTAAGTAGTAGGATTACAGGCATGAGCCACTGACACCTAGCTTGAGAACCTCTCTTACACTATAAAATAATGACATTCTGACAAATAAAGCTGCAAAGCTCTTTGTCCTGATAGAAACACAGGTGACTTTAGGGTTAAAAAAAAAACCTATTTTAGAGTAATAATATTTTTTTGGCCGGTCATAGGGCTTGAACTCTGGGCCTGGGCGCTGTCCCTCAGCCCTTCAGCAAGGCAAGCACTCTACCACTTGAGCCACAGCGCCACTTCTGGTTTTTCTGGTAGTTAGTTGGAGAAAGGAGTCTCATGGACTTTCCTGCCTGGGCTGGCTTTGAACTAGAATCCTCAGATCTCAGCCTCCTGAGTAGCTAGGATTACAGGCATGAGCTACTGGAACCCAGCTAGGGTAATAATTTTTAAACTTCAATTATAATCACTTTGAATTTTTTATTTTTAAATTGTTTATTACTATTCTAAAGGTGATGTACAGAGGGTTACAGTTACATAAGTCAAGTAAAGTAGACATTTCTTTTTGGAAAACATCACCTCTTCCCTTGCATTCTCCCAGTCTTTTGTTTCTTTATTATTTTCTTGGAGTAGAAGGACTTGAATCTTGAACTTAGTACCTGAAATTTGCTAGATAGGTGCTTTTCCACTGAGCCATTTTTTAAAATATGGTCATGGTTTTTCCTTGGACAAGTTTGGGCCACGATCATATTTATTGCCTCCAAAGCTGGAATGACAGGCATATACCATCACACCCAGTTTATTGATTTGAGATGGTGTCTCAAAAGCTTTTTGCCAGGGTGGGAATGTGGTTAGTGGTAGAGTATTTGCCTAGCATGCATGAAGCCCTGGGTTCCATTCCTCAGTACCACATACACAGAAAAAGCCTGAAATGGTGCTGTGGCTCAAGTGGTAGAGTGTTGGTCTCGAGCAAAAAACAACTCAGAGACAGTGCCCAGGCCCTGAGTTCAAGCCCCATGACTGACCAAAACAAAAACAAAAACAACTTTTTGCCAGGGTGAGCTTCAAATTGCTATCCGCCTCAATTTCACCTTCCCAAGTACATTTTAGATTTCTATCAATGGTTTTAGGAGCATGTCATTATAGCTACTATGTTAAAATTAGTTTACAAGATTAAAATTAAAACTACTCAATTTCTTTTTGTTCTTTTAGCAGTTCCAATTAGTTTTGGCTGGAAAAGCATAACTATTGACCAAGGAAACTTTAACTTTACAGTTAAAACTGTTTCTGCTTATTTTTTTAGATACTTTCCTCCAAGGTATATCCCACAAATTTGGAAGTATCATATACAAATAATGAAAGGAAAAAGGAACCCTCAGAGAAATAAGACCCCTTAATTACTATACGAATTCCTAAGCCTAAAAACATGACACAAAGTGAAAAAGTCATAAAGTGAAGATTGTACCCAATTTTGCCATTAACAATTGTACAAGGTTAAGTAACTGAACTTCTCTGGGTTCAGTACTTTCCTAAGAGAAAAATAAATTTACTTCTGATATTCAACTAATTTACAACATAAAGAACATAAAGTCAGATTGGCTGGGTAAACCACCAAACACTTGGTAGCTCACCTTAGGAAAAATAAAATAAATTCTTTAATAAGGAGAGTTAGGTAGCCACCAGTGACTGATGCCTGTAATCCTAGCTTCGCATGAGTCTGAGAGCTGAAGAATTGAAGCCCAGACAGAAAAGTCCGTAACTCTCTGTCCAAAAAAACAGCAAAAAACAGGGCAGAACACCAATGAACAAGGTAAGCATGTACAAGGCTCTGACTTCAAACCCCAGTACCGCCAGCAAAATACACACACACATATATATACACATACATATATACATACATAAAGGTTATAATGCAGCCTGTCACTTAAAAAGAAACAGAAATAAGAATGGCTACAATGTAGAAATGTTGATCACTATTTTCTCCAAAGAAGTATTGTATTCACATACATAGTTTCATCAACTGACTGGCTGCATTCCTGGACTGCAGCTTCTACTACGGATCGTTCAATCATGTTGGATGACACTGAAAAGACAAGTTCGAAGTCAGAACAATAACAAAACACAAGACTTATGTCAAATATCTTCATGTCCATGTTTTGCAATTTAAAAAATCATCTTAATATATAGCTAAATGCCTTTATTTTATAAGCATTTTATAAATACTGTTCAGCCATATAAACTTAGTTAAAAAACATTCTGTAAGCTCCCAATTTCAATAAAGCTATAGTAATAGTATAATCACAACTGCTATGTTTTATTAAGTATTATAGTAACAAGAACAGCTACTAGCTCAGTACTTTACAAGCTTCAATCTACTAGACAGATATTCTATAACACTGATGTTAGCATACTCATAATTAATTAATTAATTAATTTTTGCTAGTCCTGGGGCTTGAACTCAGGGCCTGTCCCTGAGCTTGTTTTGCTCAAGGGTAGCACTCTTACCACTTCAGACACAGTGCCACTTCTAGTTTTTTCTGTTTATGCAGTACTGAGGAATTGCAGTACATGCTAGCAAGCACTCTACCACTCCCAGCCCCATACTCATATTTTAGATGTAGGAGATGTTCAACTTTAGGATGTTCACTAAGAATTACACCAGCAATACAAACTCAGTCCTGATTCTTTTTTTTTTTTTTTTGGTCCAGTTGTGGGGCCTGAACTCTGGGCCTGGGCCTGAGTACTGTCCCTCAGCTCTTCAACTCAAGGCTTTTTTTTTTCTGTGTCAGCACTGAGAATCGAACTCAGGGCATGGGCACTGTGCCTTAGTTTTTTCATTCAAGGCTGGCTTTCTAGAATTGGAGCCACAACTCCACATCTGGCTTTTTGCTAGTTAGCTGGAGATAAGAATCTTTCTTTCTTTTTTTTTTTTGGGTCCCGTCATGGGGCCTGAACTCTGGGCCTGGGCACTGTCCCTCAGCTCTTCAGCTCAAGGCTATCGCTCTACCACTTGAGCAACAGTGCCACTTCCGGCTTTTTTCTTTTTGCTTATGTGGTGCTGAGGAATCGAACCCAGGGCCTCAGGCATGCAAGGCAAGCGCTCTACCACTGAGCCACCTTCCCAGCCCCTGGAGATAAGAATCTTATGGACTTTTCTCCCCAGGCTGGCTTCAAACATTGATTCTCGGAACTCAGTGTCCAGAGAATAGGCATGAGCAGTGCACCAGCATCTGGCAGCATTTGTTCTTTTTTTTTTTGGTTGGTCGTGGGGCTTGAACTCTGGGCCTGGGTGCTGTCCCTGCGTTCTTCAGCTCAAGGCCAGCGCTCTATCACTTGAACCACAGTGCCACTTCCGGTTTTCTAGTAGTTTAATGGAGACTTTCCTGCCTGGGCTGGCTTTGAACCGTGATCCTCAGATGTCAGCCTCCTGCATAGCTAGGATTACAGGCATAAGCCACCGGTGCCCAGCTAGCATTTGTCCTTTGATTGGATCAATTGGAATAAACTGATTTTAAAGAAAAAGTATACCTAAAAATACCTGACTTTAGAAGAGAAAATGAGATATAGTAAGTAACATTTTCTCCTCTACCATGGAACATGTTGGAGATACTAGCATCTATACAACTTGTGAGTGAGCCAAACCCACTTCTACACTTCAGGACACTAGAAACACTGGACTTTCGTTTCCCAAGCTGGGTTCCAGTGACTCATGCCTGTAATCCTAACTACTCCAGAGACTGAGGATCGCAGTTTAAAGCCAGCCCGGGCAGGAAATTCCATGAGACTCTTATCTCCAGTAAGAGTCTTTTCTCCAATAAACCACCAGAAAACCAGAAGTAGCGCTGTGGCTCAAGTGGTAGAGTGATAGCCTTGAGCTGAAGAGCTTAGAGACAGAGCCCAGGCCCAGAGTTCCCCATGACCACCACCAACAACAAAAAAACCTCAGGAAGGTGGGCTCAATTGCTCACACTTGTAATCTAGCTAATCAGGAGACTGAGATCTGAGGGTTGTGGTTTGAAGCCAGACTGGACAGGAAAATCCATGAGACACTTTTTTTTTTGTTTTGTTTTGTTTTGCTAGTCCTGGGACTTGAACTCAGGGCCTAGGCACTGTCCCTGAGCTCCTTTTTGCTCAAGGATAGTGCTCTACCATTTCAGCCCTAATGCCACTTGCGGCTTTTTCTATTTACGTGGCATTGAGGAATCAAACCTGGGGCTTTATGCATGCTAGGCAAGCACTCTACCCCTAAGCCACATTCCCAGTCTGTGACTCTTAACTCCAATTAATTACTAAAAAATCCAGAAGTGGAGCTGTGGCTCAAGTGGTAGAGCACTAGCTTTGAGCATAAAACCTCAGGGGTAGTGCCCAGGCACAGAGAGAGAGAGAAAGAAATAGAAAGACAGAGAGAAAGAGAGGGAAGATAGGGAAAGAGGGGGGTAGAGGGAGAGAGAGAGACAGAGACAAATCCATGCTTATGGTATCAAATGAAGTATACTTAACCAAAAGATACCTGAAAAAGCAAGAAAGGAAGTTTTCCTCAAATCATTTATGAGTACCTAACTCAAATAAGACACAGTATTAAGTGTACAGAGAGAGAAAAGCGATTGGGAACCAGAGCAAATCCAGAGTCAAGTTAGAGAAGGATGGTTGTGATAAGTGCCCAAAAGGCTAGGAAGCTGTAACAACAGGGTCCCTGAAGAATAGTCAGAGGCTACAACTGAACTAATACCTTGGAAAGAAATATTGCCAGGCCTATATCATAACACCAGATCTTAAATATCAAATCCTCAACTTCTATTTAAATCTATAAATCTGAAGATACAAAGCTATACTCACAATTTAAGAGTTATCAGAAAATGCTACTTACAGGGCTGCTTTTCAACTGCATCAATGATCTTTTCCAGAGTGTCTTCAAGCTCTAATTCGTTGACAGACTGAAGAACTTCTGTCAGGTACTTAGTAGCTTCACTAGAAAAAAAAGGGGAAACACAGGGGGTGGAGTCTAATCAAGATACATTGAAAGCATATGTAAAAGTGTCATAATGAGACCTTCCTGTACATGCTAATAAATCTTTTAAAGATAAGACATGTCATTGGTCATTGAAAGCAAATCTTTCTTGTCAAAAAATAGCAAACACTTATCAATCTGGAATTTAAATTAAGATCTACCAATCCCTTCTGTTCAAGTATTACTCACCTTTCCTATACTTTCTGAGCAAAAAAAAAAAAAAAAAGGTCATTCTATCTATCCCTTGTTAACACTTTTTTTTTTTTTTGTGGACTGTGGGGCTTTCAGGGCCTGGGCACTGTCCCTGAGTTCAAGGTTAGAGCTCTAACCACTTAGAGACACAGTGCCATTCTGGTTTTCTGGTGGTTAATTGGAGATAGAGTCTCACAGACTTTTCTGCCTGGGCTGGATTTGAACCATGATCCTCAGATCTCTGCCTCCTAAGCAGCTAGAATTAACAGGCATGAGCCACCAGCACCCACAAATGTTATAAAGAGTCATCCTGTACCAACATTATCTACTGCAATCTCCCTTCATTTTGAAATCAGTAAATATAATTTCTATATATACCTTGAATTTGACACCTCATATTAGCCCTGTAATACGTATAACCTTACATTTACAGCAAAAAAATTGTCAGCCTCCATGTCAGATGCCATATCTGAGTATAATAGAGACTGTGTAACGATTAAACTGACACTGCATTTGCTTGAAGTAAATTCCAGTAATTTCATCACTGTTTTTGGTTATAAAATTAGAAGGAAAAAAAGACTACAAAGAAACCTTAACATTTGAATATAATCACCATATAAACTACATTCATACTTAAAAATAAGCAACCAGTGCTCCAAGGGCTGAAGGTGATAGAGCACGGGCCCAGCAAGCCTGCCACCCTAGGTTCAATGAGTGTGTTGGAGAGGGAGACAATTTTAACAAGAGCAATCTTGTAGCTGTCATTTTGTAGGTCCTAAAAGACATGGATATGTCCAAGAAACCGGACTTTGAGATACTGTAAAGGAAAAGTTCTTAAATGTACATTTTTAAAATATGCTTAAAACCCACCCACTCTGAAATAACTGGTAATCCCCAAATGGGAGGGTCTGCTGCTATACAAACTGGCCGCAACTGGCAGTACGTGTTCCCTCCCCCAAACTCCTCACTTGACAGCTCAGAACCGGCAGAGCTCTGATTCGCGGCGGGCAGAGGCAGAGACCTGCGGGCCGAACGGTGCCCGAGTCGGGGGCTAAAGGGCAGCTACGAGACCCATCGCCGGGCCGGAGAGCCTGGCCCCCAATGGAAGACACTTCAAGATGGCACCTGATCCACTTCTTAGAGGTGTGGGTCTCTGTCATGTAAGGTGAAGCCCCCAATCTGCGCGCGGGAGACAAGCTGTCCAGACCGACTCACCCTCGGAGTAGCAAGCCGCGCAACTTGAAAGCCGAGAGCGCACGGCTCCGCACTCGCTCAGGCGCCATGTTCGCGATTTGGCGCCACGGCGGAGGCCCCGCCTCTTCCTAGAGGAGGCCACGCCCCTGGAGCGGTGGGCGGAGTTTTGTAGGAAACCCTGCGCGGTAATGTCTGTTGCTACGGGTCTACCTCAATCCTGACACTCTGCACCACCTATGCTCCTCCACGGAGGGGATACAGGAGGGGCGAGAGCATCCTTCCCTGGCGTCTGGTTGGGAAGCGCTTCTCTTTCCCCACGTTTATCATTGAGTCATTCAGGGCACACTGCCCTGGGACCTTCCTGCCTTCCCCATAGGCCTTGGAAATAATGTTTCCTGGCTGGAATTTTCGCAACATGTACAACAAGTTGTTATAAATCTCCCTCAGTCTCATCCAAGCAGCATTTTAGTTGGATTTTTCCTCCATACAAGCCTTTTCTGCCCAGGCTGGTCTTGAATTGCCGTCCTCAGATCTCAACCTCCTAAGTAACTAGGATCACTGGCAGCCAGCTATAGTCATAGCAAATTAAATTGTATCGAGGGGTTGCTCACAATTGCCAAATGAGCTGTTGTGATAGTTTTTCGCAATAGATTCATCTTACAAGTGAGGGGCTGGGATGTAGCTCAGTGGCAAAGCGCTTGCCTAGCAAGTGCGACGTCCTGGGTTCGATCCCCAGTACCAAAAAAGAAAAGACAAAAAAATACAGTTAAAAAAAACCCAAACAACAAAAAAAAAAAAAAAACAACCCTTGGGCTGGGAAGGTGGCTCAGTGGTAGAGTACTTGCCTTGCATGCATGAGGCCCTGGGTTCGATTCCTCAGTACCACATAAGCAAAAAGAAAAAAGTCGGAAGTGGCCCTGTGGCTCAAGTGGTAGAGCGTTAGCCTTGAGCTGAAGAGCTGAGGGACAGCGCCCAGGCCGAGTTCAGGCCCCACGACTGGACCCCTCCCCCCAAAAAATGAAAAGACCAATTAAGGAACAAGTGAGAAATGACGAGTGGTATGCTAGATAGGTCTTGAATTGTTATTCAGATTCCAGCAGTTAAAACAGCTGGGTCATTTACATATATATCCCTATACTTAGATACCCACTTCAAGAAATTGCCAAATAGGGCTGGGAAGGTGGCTCAGTGGTAGACCGCTTGCCTTGCATGCCTTAGGCCCTGGGTTCCATTCCTCAGCACCACATAAGCAAAAAGAAAAAAGCCGGAAGTGGCGCTGTGGCTCAAGTGGTAGAGCGCTAGCCTTGAGCTGAAGAGCTGAGGGACAGTGCCCAGGCCCAGAGTTCAGGCCCCACGACCGGACCCAAAACAACAACAACAACAACAACAACAAAGAAATTGCCAAATAGTTTACCATTTTTGCTCAATTAGCAATAAATGAGAATGTTAGGGTTTGAATGTGAAGTGCCCCTTCCCCTCAAAAATGACTCACACATTAAAGGCTTGATTCCCACCTGTTGGTGCTATTTGAGAGAGTCTAGAAATTTCAGCAGGTTAAATGCTAGCTAAAGGAAGTAGGTCTTGGGAAGAGAGTGTCCTTAGGCTCACAGTAATGAAGCTGGCCCATCATGGACTAAAACCTCTGAAACTGAGAGTCTAAATAAATACTTCCTCTCATAATGTGTTTTCTCTGGTATTTTGTCACAGAGATGAAAAGTCAGACTAACACAAGTCTCTGTTTCCATGATAGCTTTTTCTCTTGGTTGTTACTACTAAAAATTCTTCTCATCTTTCTTCCACAAAAATATTCATATTCCCAAGACCTTGTGGTCATCTCACTCTACCTTCTCCTTGGGAAATCTTATCCATCACAGGAGCTCCCACAAAATTGTGATGTCAACATTTTCATTTTCCAGCTAAACTAGTACTGAGCAACATTTTGCAAAAGTATGTATGAGTTACTCCCTGCAATTCAACTTCTTCACCTCCTAAGACTTTTTGTAAGACTACAAACTACCTTATACATGTTTCTTTACAGTGTTATTTGTGATATCAAAAAAACTAGAAATAACTGACATGTCTATCAGGACTAGAATCAATAAATCACAACATAATCAGTGGGATAGTGTGAGGCTGCCTAGAAGATAAGATGATAGGGAATGATGTCTGAGAGCAGGCATCATTGTGTAAGAGCAATAAGTAACCAGTGTTTCTTTTTGTGTGAAAAAAAGGGAAAACATTTGTCTCTGTGTATTTTTTGTATTATAAACAATGAAAAGGGCCGGGTGCTTGTGGCTCATGCCTGTAATCCTAGCTACTCAGAAGGCTGAAATCTGAGGATCACGGTTCAAAGCCAGCTGGGGCAGAAAAGTCCATGAGACTTATCTCCAATTTAATTAATCACCAAAAAAGCCAGAAGTGGTGCCTTGGCTCAAGTGGTAGAGTGCTAGCCTTGAGCAAAAGAAGCTCAAGGACAGTGCCCCAGCCTTGAGTACAAGCCCCATGACCGAAGGGGGAGGGAAGGGGTAAGAGTATGTTGTACTGGGTGCAGCATGAAGAACTCTTGAAAAATCAACAGCCTCTAGTAAGCCTTGAGATACAGGTCCAGCCTAAAACAAATAAGTGGAGCCGGATATGATGAGACACACATGTAATCCAAACATCAAGAATGCTTTGGCAGGAGGATCACCAGATGAAGACCAGCCTGGGCTACAAATGAAGACCTACAAGTTTCTCTGTAACCTGGAAATACTTTTTTAATTAAGTTTTTTTTATTTTGTGAAAATACTGTACAAAGGGGTTACAGTTACATGAGCAAGGCAATGAGTCCATATCCAGCATTGTCGCCTCCTCCTTTGTTTTTCCCCTACTATCCACCCCCACCTAAATTGTAAAGTTCGTTTTTCGACATCGTGTCTTCTACATCTCCTTGGTGCAATGGGTCCACCTGTATCCCTAGTTAAACCATTTGTTTTTTCCCTTGGAAATATGTATTTTTAATAGACAAACAAAAACCTTACACATTGGGTTCATAAATCACAAAGAGGCCATCATAAACTCCCCAAAATGTAGCACAGCTATGGCAAAAGAAAACTCACTGGGCAAACCCAGGTCTTACAACAGAAGGGAGGAAAACTAGTCTAGATTAAGAAAGACGCGGCAAAGTCTTCAAAGTCATGCATGACCCACAGTAACGCTGCTACAAAACCAACTACGGAAACCCTTTCTGGGGAGGGTCCAGGTGAAGGCGGAAGGACACGGCACAGCAGAACACACTCCCGGGGGGAGAGACCCCCGTCCGAGAGCCCGGGGCCTCCGGGAGGCTAGGCCTTCCCGCCCGCGCGCGCACCCGGGCCCGGTCGTCCAACTCCGGGCCGCGTCGGCCAGCCGGCGGCGGACGGCCGGCGTACACGCGCCGGTTGCGCCTTCCCACAATCTGGACCCTTGACGCGTTCCGTTGTGCGTGCCCGAGTCGGGAGCGCGGAGCAGCTGCTCGGCGGGCTGGGGCAGCGGCGCGCCAGCGACGGCGCGGATGGCGGACTCGCAGCTGTTCTGCGTGGCCGAGGAGCGCAGCGGCCACTGCGCCGTGGTGGACGGGAACTTCCTCTACGTGTGGGGGGGCTACGTGGTAAGGGGAAGAGGCGGAACGGGGCGTTCTCGGTCCGCGGGGACGCCGAGCGCCCGCCCACCCCCCGACCCCCCAGCTTCGGCTCCTGAGGTGGGGCACGTCCTGGGCCTGAGGCGCCCGGAACCTCGCGTCTCGGCGTGCCCCCCTCCCCCCCGCCCCGAGTCTGGGGCCTGCGCCCGGAGCCCGGCGTCCCGCGCCCGCCCTCCCAGCCACGCCGGGCTGGACGCCGTGCCGCCGTTGCTTCCGCTGTCAGAGGCCTTCCCCCCCACCCCCACCCCGGCCTGGTCCCCGGATGCTCCCTTCTCCTCCCCCTCCCCCCGTTCCCCCCACCCTCCTCAGGTGGCCAGTTTAACCCCCCCACCCCCGGGCCGTGTCCGGCAGTTCAGTTACCGCGCGATTCCTTGCCCTTAAATACTGGCGCCCACTTAAAAAAAAAAAAAAAAGGCCTCCAAGGACGTGGTCCTGGGTGATTCTGTACATCGTGTTTGCTTTGGTTGTGGTTGTCGTTGCGGTGGTCGGCCACGGTGAGACGCGAAATAAAATGCCGAAGTCACTGGCAGTAGCTAACTAAGCCTTTAGGTATCGTCAGTCGTTTTTCTTCGCTAATGGATAAGGACGATTATGTTTTCCCCTTTCCACCCTCCCCCCCCCCCCTTCAAGTTAGGTTTGTATGAGCAACACTAAACAAGAGAGGAGTATGGTTGAGAGTTCATTACCATGGAGGTTAGAACGCGTGTTTGTTTTGTTCCGGTGATCAGAGGATGGGAGTAAGAGTCGTAAAGCTGGGAAACCATTCAGGAATAGCTGCTAATCCTTTTTAGTCTACAGATTAAGAAAGAAAAAGAAAAAAAAAAGCCCTCTGGAAACTACTGAAAATAGATCCTACATCTTCGGACATACTAATCTATGACAGACCAGTAAGGAGATGGACTCACTGAAATAAAGTACATACTATGTATGCTAGTGATGGTGCAGATCCAAGTGGGATTTTTTTGTTTGTTTGTTTGTGTGTTTCTTCTTAACTTAGTGCAGTATGGGAGAAAAAAAAATCAGAAGTAATCTTTTGAGTGTCTACTGTATCTGGGATGTGCTAGGAATTTTCATGTCCCTAATATTATATAATCCTCAGTCTCACCAGGTAAAGTACCTGAATCTCCATTTGATAAATAAGGACAATGAGAACACCTTCAATGGCTATTTGGCATCAAGCGCAGCAGATTGCGGCACGTGAGATCTCTAAAGGCTGTTTCGTTTTATTTATTTATTTTTACCATTTCCACCACTTATTCATGATAAAATAAATAAATACAACGATGACTGTACGTACAAAAATACTTTTTTTCTTAGCTCTTGAAGATGCAGAGATACCAAACTTCATCCCCCCCCCCAGTCCTGGGGATTGACCTAAGGGCCTGGGCACTGTTCCCGAGCTAGCGCTCAACTACATGAGCCACTTCGGGCTCTCCTGTT